CCCAAACCCAACCCCAACCCCAACCCCAAACCCAAACCCAAACCCAACCCCAACCCCAAACCCAATCCCAAACCCAATGCTCAAAAGTCAGTTTTTTGTAACGGCCCTACCATTATATTAGTAATGGGGTGATAGGGGGGTGTGTAGACCAAACCCATTACAAAAATCTTGGTGTAAAAAAAGATTATGGTAGGTATCAAAAATCTTGGTATTTTAAAAGATATGGTAGTTATAAAAGATTAGGAGGAAGATTTTTTTTGCCCTTGGTAAAAAAATTTTCCTCCTAATTTTTTTTCAAATTTTTTTTTGTTCACACATATTAATGTGGTTAGAAAATTCAACATTCTGTGATCTGAGACATACATACTAGTGGGCAAACCCTTTTTCTTTATCTTATTTACCTTCTTAACGTAGCGTTTTAGCTTTCTTCATCAGATAGAACTAATCGCCCTTACCCAATGTTGTTAATAAATTTTATAGATATAATTTGTTATATAAAATTTGTTATGAAAATTATGATTGAAAAAAAAAATTCTATTAGATAGAAATTAAAAAAATTTTTGAAAGGGTTGAATGAAAATTGAGAGAGAATTCATATTTTTATAACCAAAACAAAGTTATTTCGAATTTAGAATTGCATTTCAATTAAAAGAGTATTTTCTAAAATTGCTATTTTTCTTTAGTTTTTTATTTACTCTTATTTTTGATCGTATTACTCAAGTTACTCTATTTCTAAAAATTTCTCTGAGCATTCTTCAATTACTGACCTTTTAATTTTATTCATTGTTTTATTCAGTTAACAAAAAAAAGAGAGTAATTAATCCTTATCCAACTTCATTTTATATTTTAGCAATCCTCATAATTTAAAGATTGAACTCCTTTACTTTCTAAAATTCCTTGGACTATTCAATACTCTTATTCAAATTAATTCATAATTATATTCAAATGGCACCAATGTCTCATTAAACTATATTTTTTTTTAGTTGCTTGATATCACTTATAATGAATGATTTAAACTTAGTTCATACTTCTTTCTATTTTCAGAATTTTACAAATGAATAATATTCTACTTTTGTGGTAATAATGTTTAAAAAAATTAGAATTTATAAAATTGTTGATAAATAATTTTTTAATTTAAATTACCCTTTTTTCATTATTCCTATTTATTAATTCAAAAGAAAACAAAAATTTTCTAAAAATTCTATAATGTTATTTTTAAATCGAATAAATCATCACAATATTAAATTGATATCTTAATAAGCGAGGTTTTGAATTCATTTTATGTATTCAAAACTTATAAAATTAAATTATTTTTATGAACTCAGACAGTTAAAGAAATTATGATTTGTATGAGAAAATTGGTCCCATTTTGAATAATCTAAGCAGCATTAATAATAATTTTGAATAATAAAAGAAACAACTGAATACATTGAACTATTCAATTGATAAAATGAATCTTGATATAAAAAATAGAGAGATGGACCAAAAAAATTTATAATGGTTATATTCTTTATAAGAAAGAGAAAATAAACTATAAATGGAGATATCATCAAATGAAGCGAAAAAAGCACAATTAGAAAGTCTGAAATAATAGAATATGTTTTATGAGGAGTAAATTTAAGTACTAAAAATTGAGAATTAAAAAATGAAAAATGAATATTTATAAATACAATAAAAGAATGAAAAGTTGATTAGCTAGCAAGACATAGCATTAAAAGAATCAATAAAATAAGTTAATGAATAATTCATAAACAGAATAGTTTAATTAGAAGCACAATTATAAATTAAGTAAAAAGATGAGGTTGAAATAAGCGTTAAAACAGCGTCATTTCTCAATTAAATTAAAATATTAGAAGCCCAGAAGCAGATTTTTTAGTAAGAATGTGATTAATTTGAAATAACAAAAAAGACTTTAGAAAAAGAGAAAGAAATGTATATTCATGAATTTCGTTATTTAAAAGAAAATTATATGAAAATGCTTGATAAATTACAAGAGGAGGTTCACAAATTAAAAGTTTAAAATCACACTTTAAATGAAGACAATAAATCATTAAAATAAACAGTAGAATATTATAAAAATAGATTTTAAGATATGATGGATTTACAAGAAATGGCTAGTTTAAATTAAGATAATTCATTATTATCTTTATTAAAATCAAAAGGAATGGCAAACGTAACTAAGTAAGATTTAGAATAAGCAAGAGATTAAGTTGCTCAAGATATGGCTGATTAAAAAGGATTCTAATTAACAAATGCTTGGGACTAAATTATGAATGATATCAGTAAATTAACTTGAATTTATGATATATATATCAATATAAGTTTCTATCATATACTTATGAATTAAGTATAAATTCATAATTATTATTCAGCTTAATCATATAATTTATCATCAGGTTCTAAATTATCTCCAAATTAAATAGCATAATCAATCTCTCCTAATAGATTTTCAATACTTTCATCATCACTGATGTCCAAACACAAAAGCCTTCCAATTCCAAAACTTGTAATTAACTCACTAATTCCTGAAGTAAAAGACTTATAAGTTTTAGAGAATTCATCTTAATTTGCATACTCACTTTCTTAGTTAAATTTATGAAGCTTTGTATATCTCTTTAATTTCTTTTTGTCCGAAATAAGATCGCATTTTGAAAGCACTGTAAAAGCAGGCAATTCTAAGGTCATGGATGCTGATAAAGCCATTAATAGGCCTGATAAAAATTTAGCATCATCTTCAATAAAATTGATATCAACTAAATAAACAGAAGATATTGAAAATCCAGAATTAACTAATAATTAAGTTAATTTTCTCATCATATCAATATGAGAATATAGTTCTATTTATCCTGGACAATCAAATAAAACATAATCATCTTAAGCAATATTATTTAATTGCTCTTGCATCCAATCCCAATTTTATAATAAATATTCCATACAATAGACTAAGCCACCATTTGGACCTAGCACTAATTCTTCCATTACATCATTTAAGCATATTAATTCTCGAATGTCAATTGCACATTTATAAGGAATATAATCAGCAGCAGGGTCTAAATTTACTACTTGAATATTCCTTTTAAATGTCCCCTCTTGCAAAATATTACAATATGAAGTTTTTCCACTTCCCGCAGGCCCTATTACAAGTTAACCATAATATAACATTATTTAATTATTTAATTAAAAATTATCCTAGTTTTTAGTTGTAAATTAAAAGATTACAATTCTTTATTTCTTAAGAATAATTAAAATCAAATACCGATATTCAAAATTTTTGTGGTTTAGAATTTATTAATTTACTCTATGTTATATCANGTTCACAAATTAAAAGTTTAAAATCACACTTTAAATGAAGACAATAAATCATTAAAATAAACAGTAGAATATTATAAAAATAGATTTTAAGATATGATGGATTTACAAGAAATGGCTAGTTTAAATTAAGATAATTCATTATTATCTTTATTAAAATCAAAAGGAATGGCAAACGTAACTAAGTAAGATTTAGAATAAGCAAGAGATTAAGTTGCTCAAGATATGGCTGATTAAAAAGGATTCTAATTAACAAATGCTTGGGACTAAATTATGAATGATATCAGTAAATTAACTTGAATTTATGATATATATATCAATATAAGTTTCTATCATATACTTATGAATTAAGTATAAATTCATAATTATTATTCAGCTTAATCATATAATTTATCATCAGGTTCTAAATTATCTCCAAATTAAATAGCATAATCAATCTCTCCTAATAGATTTTCAATACTTTCATCATCACTGATGTCCAAACACAAAAGCCTTCCAATTCCAAAACTTGTAATTAACTCACTAATTCCTGAAGTAAAAGACTTATAAGTTTTAGAGAATTCATCTTAATTTGCATACTCACTTTCTTAGTTAAATTTATGAAGCTTTGTATATCTCTTTAATTTCTTTTTGTCCGAAATAAGATCGCATTTTGAAAGCACTGTAAAAGCAGGCAATTCTAAGGTCATGGATGCTGATAAAGCCATTAATAGGCCTGATAAAAATTTAGCATCATCTTCAATAAAATTGATATCAACTAAATAAACAGAAGATATTGAAAATCCAGAATTAACTAATAATTAAGTTAATTTTCTCATCATATCAATATGAGAATATAGTTCTATTTATCCTGGACAATCAAATAAAACATAATCATCTTAAGCAATATTATTTAATTGCTCTTGCATCCAATCCCAATTTTATAATAAATATTCCATACAATAGACTAAGCCACCATTTGGACCTAGCACTAATTCTTCCATTACATCATTTAAGCATATTAATTCTCGAATGTCAATTGCACATTTATAAGGAATATAATCAGCAGCAGGGTCTAAATTTACTACTTGAATATTCCTTTTAAATGTCCCCTCTTGCAAAATATTACAATATGAAGTTTTTCCACTTCCCGCAGGCCCTATTACAAGTTAACCATAATATAACATTATTTAATTATTTAATTAAAAATTATCCTAGTTTTTAGTTGTAAATTAAAAGATTACAATTCTTTATTTCTTAAGAATAATTAAAATCAAATACCGATATTCAAAATTTTTGTGGTTTAGAATTTATTAATTTACTCTATGTTATACTCACTATTTCAATCTTAATCCAATCTCATCATAAATTTTAGTTAAGTCTTAAAAATATTGGTAAATTAATTTCTTCTTAATTATTAAAACAACAATAATTTTCTTGAAATGGAAGAAATATAACTTAAAATTATTATATTAACTTTTTTAATATTATTCACTATTTTAGATATAAACTGTAATTTATTAAGCATCTCTTTCTTTTGGTATTTAAGGAACTTTAATTTTGCTTTAAATTTTACCAACCCCATACATCTTGTAATACCTAAATTAGTCATTTGTAATAATTACATGTTGATATGATAAAAATTTTTTTTAGATGATATTGTCATTTCCTTACTTTTTAGGTTGAATAGTATAGTCGGTAGGGAGTTAAAATAAAAGATCTCCATCCAAGACTTTATCAACTTTACTTATGAAATCAAAATTTTAAGAAACATTCTAATCTAAATAAATTATTTTACAAGCTAAAATCTCATTTCAATATCTTCAAATGGATCAAGAACTGCTTATCCAAATACTGCAATCATAATTTTTTCAGATAATGAATTATAGTCTCCTTTTACAATATTATATGTATCCCAAATGTAAGATTTCATATCTTTCAAAATTATTTATTTTTTGACAAATGATTTGACTTGTTTTAATATAAACTTTAATTCATCTTCAGAGAATCTAATTTAATGATTTATTTTAGGAAACAGGTCTAGTCTTTCATTTAGTTATTTTTCTAATTGTTTAATTAAATATCTGCATGCTGGATCATCAAAAGAGAATTAGGCCTAAATTTAAAAAATGATACTACATTAAATAATTAAAAAAAGGGACTTATTTTTTACCTTAATTCTTAGGAAGGCTTATTTATAAAATTTTATAACCTTTATTTATATAAATTTAACATTGTTTTCTCTAATTCTGCTTGAACTAAAATCAATACTTATGGTAATTAAATCTGAATTTAAAAATAAATATACCCCATAAAAATATTATCTAGATAAGCCAGGCCCAGATATCTTCCAAGCTATATTATTTTCAGAAGAAGGAACTCTTCCCAATAGTTTGATAATAATGATAGTAAATGAATCATAAAGTGATCGAGTATAAAATCTAAGATAAGCAAATACGGCCATAAAAGTTATCCAAAATGGATGCCATAATAGTAATTTGAATAAACAATAAATCATATTCAAAATTCCTAAAATTAAGAAATCAAAAATATTGATGATTAAAGGGAACCAATTAGGAGATCTCCAGATAATATCCTTCTCTCTTCTTCTATACACGTCAGTATCATAAATTAATGTGTTAAATAAAATTCTAATAATAATAGTTATTGGAATCCAAAGCCAAGCTGTAAGGGCCATAAGTGTAGAAATAATCACATTAGATATAATGATGGTTGGTAAAATAATGAATACTCCTAAAATACCTACTAATAAAAATCTAAAAATGTAGACTTCAACTAAGTTAAAAAACCGGTACAAATTTTTCCCAAACAAACCAGTATCAGGGCTAGTCTCAAAATGACACCTTGAGTTCCTCATCCCTTCTAATACATTATAAAACTTAACAATTAAAGGTGTAACAGTATAGCTTGATGGATAAACTGCTCCAGTTTAAGAGTCTATTGTCACATCTGGTTTAAATTTTTAACTTTTTATGAGAGCTTTAATTCCAATAGGTCCAGAAAAAGCGTTTGCACTCAACCAAAATATGATATTAACTGTCCAAACATAATATCTTATCCACATTAATTGAAGCTTCCAACCAGCTTTAGAAGAGTCAATATGATAATCTTTATATCTTCTCAAATAAAATCGATTTCTTTCTTCATATACTTCATATGGTGGAAATAAACGTTTTGACCTAATTTTTTTTAATCAAATTCATACACAACAAGTTTGATTGATGGCTCTTTATTCTCAATTTTTTTTTGTATTCTCATTTATTTAACATTTTCTCTCATTTACTTTTTGCAATTTTAAAATTATTAATATATCTGATGTTCTGATAAATTTAACTACTTCATATCATCTATAAAATTTGTAACAAATTATTATTTTATTTATTTTTTAACATCCTTTTTGAATTTACAAGTCTCTTCTTCCACAAACTTTGGGAAATACGATTTTATTTTATGTTACTATTTTAGTTATTCTTAAAAGTTCTTTATAGCACTATTATACTTTTATTTATAAATCTCATAATGATAATCGTAAAGTCTAAAACAGTCTCCTAAAGAAATAATTTGTTAAATTATAGGCTTAGGATAATTTTTGTTTTCCCAAAACTGCTTTTGAGCTGAATATTCAGCTTATTCTATCTGTGTTTATATATCAATATTTTTATCTATAAAAATATTGTATTTTTTAACATAATCACTTTGTAATTGATTTATTTATTCTTATAAATGTTCACGTTACTCAACCATTTCTTCATCTTCTGTTTCTAAAAGATTTTTTTTTTCTGTTTGCATATCATATAAGTTTTGCATCTATAATCTTAATCCATATTTTTCCTTTTCAAATTAATTTTAACAATTTTATAAATCTTCATATTTTTTTTTCGCTTAAATGTTTTCTTAATCCCCAGGTTTCAACTATAAATATTTATATAATTCCATATTAATAGCCTACATTTCTTTTAACTCAAGTTATCTTTATGTCTCAATTAATGATAATATTTTTTGTTCATCTACATAAGAATAAATTTCTTTAAATCCAAAAAATATAGAAAATATGACTAATGGTCTCTGATAGATAATAAAAAACAATTACTATTCCAATATTATAGATTGCAGACCTTATTGATATGTTTCTACCGATTTCATCTTTTTCTTAAGCAATGTAATTGAGCCAAGTTCTATAAGCTTTATAAGCTCTTGCAAGATCCAAATATTATGAATTTTTGATATTTTTTTTGCCTTTGATAGAAGTAAAGATTGTACCTTTAATAACCCAAGAAGATATCTACCAAACGTATGGGATGGGAAATTAATTTGAGGGAACTTCAAATGTTCCAGTTTCATACATTTACTTAATTTGTTTTTCAGATAAATTGGAAACAGCATTATATTCATACTAAAGTAATAAAAGAAAAACTTTACAGCTTGAAAATTTTTTGGTAATTCAAACTATTTAATTTTTTGCTAGAAACTTGTTGGAGGAATATTGAAGTAATATCTTTAATTTTAATTAGTTGAATCAACATCCCAAACTTTTGCATATTCTTTAAGTTTAACGACTGTCGACTCTGCAATCTCCTTTAAATCCTCATCTAAATTTTTAATGTCTTGCTGATACTAAAAAGTTACAATTATATTTACATTAAAATGACTTCTTTGACCTTTAAAATTTCCAACAATCAAAAGTGGTAATTGATAATAATGATTATCATCTAGCGTATATTACTAATTGAAATCAATGTTAGCTAATTTTTATTATAGAAAGAACCTTGATTTTAATTTTGCTTTTGCATTATAATATTAATATTAATCAAAATAAATAACAATAATGGAGCTTTATTTTTGTATTTTTACATTTAAATATCAATCCATATATAATCAATATATAATCATTATATAAAATTTTTTGAATTATCAAAAATTTTCGTCGGATTTTATTTATTATGGAACGGATTTTTAGAAATAAATAAATTTTTATAGTTTTCATTCAATAAATGATTTAGAAATAGTATATAGCATTTGTTGATTATTGAAAAAGTTTATTATTAAATTTATTTAACAATGAATGACGATTATTCGAGAACTCGTACCTTTGCAGAATTAAAACAGATAAAACCTGAAAAATTACCTTCTTAAAGATAAATTTCTAATCTGATTGATTAATTTGATTGGGATTCCAAATATGGCCCATGTTCTGGGATGACTAGAGAAGACAGGTAATATTATATTTATTCAATCCTTAGATACAATAGAGCAGTTGTTAATGGATTGAATCCTCCATCCGAGATAAATGGTTATTTGAACTCAAAACCACATCCACATTCTTAGTTCTATAAATTATGCTGAAAAAAATAAAATTGACAGTAATATAATTTAATGATAAATACTTCGTTAAACAAAATTTAATAAAGAAATTTATTATTAAAATCATTAGAATTTTGGTTTTGTATGAACTGACATTGACTACTTATGAAATCTAGAAAAACTTCTTCCTTAATCATATGATAGACATTCCTATGATTATGTTTGTTATTAACCTTATATAGGTTAATTCATTTATAACTTATTTAATTAAATAATTGACATACTTCTAATTTTAATTTCTTATTTTCAGAAATCAGTTTAGTTAAGTATGCCTGCATGTTTTTTATATTAAGTTACTATATTGATATTTTCTATTATATTTTGATTTCCTCTTATATTAATTAACTATCTATTTCTTCTGTTCTTACTAATTTATTTTATAAAGCATGCATTTCTTATACTAAATCAAGAGATTCAGATGGAAAAAGTGGCTTAACTTTTTCAAACTATATAGAACAATAAAGTTTACAGTTTGTAGGAGTGCGATGTAATCATAATTTTTTGCTTTTTATTCTGTAAATGATGATTAGCTAAAGCTTAAACATTTTTTATTAGATACTTAATTTTTCATATTAGCTAATTATTATTAAGATAACGACAATTATTCTTTTAATTAGGCATTTTCTTTTTCTATTTTTATCGATTTTTCTAGTTGTTCAGAAAACTTTTTATCGAACTTTTAGAATTATGTCTGCAACTCTTTAATTTCTTAATTTTTTTATTCATCCAATTATTTCATATGAGCAAATTCTAATCTAAACATTCTCTTTTATTTTTCCATTTATTTGATATCGCTCTAGTATTATTATGTTTATGCACTTAATATGGATATTTATTCAGATAATTATTAGTTGTTTTATTAGGAGTCTGTAAATTAATGTTATAAATCAAAGATTATTTATGATTTTTCTTGTTCGCTTTATTTCAATCTTAATTCAATTTAAGTTTAATTGGCAATATTATCTTAAAGTTATTATAATATATTAAAAATATCTGTCTCATTTGTATTAACCATCTTTCTCATTTAATCAATAACTTACTATTAAATATAAATATTTACTTTATTAAATAAATTATTCTGATACAGATAATTGTTATTGTAATTATTCACAATAGATTTATTATTCATGAATTTCATTGCGATACTAATTCATTTCAATCTCTAATTAATCATATTATAATTAATGTTATTATTATAAATTTTCGATCTAATACTTTTATGTTCCAATTTATTTTTATTATTCCTCAATAACTAAATTTAATTCCTTAATTTAAGCATCTAATTTTTTGATTTTATTGTTACTAAACTCTAACTCTTATTCCTTTAAAGCTAAATTTAATTCTAATTTATGTTCTTCTTTAACTTGACTTTTATAGAAAGTTTATTTTAAATTCTCTAATTCTTTTATTAATTCTTCTTTTTCACATTCTTCAGTTTTTAGATTTAGATGAATTTTGTTAAGTCTTTTCTCCAATTAAGTTAAATCTTCTTAGTATTTTTCATTTTGTTAATTCAATTATTGAATTTATGTTTTGAGATGCTGATTCTCTAATTCTAATTTTGATATTAAAGCTTCCTTAAATAAAATATTATCATCATCTTTAGTTACTCCCTATAATTAATCAAGTTAATCCAACAAATATTATTTATCAACTTTTAATTCCATTAACTCTTTGGCATAACAATTAATTTGTTTATTTAAATTATCGACTAATTGTTATAAATTGTCAACTTGTGTATTTTATTAATTCTAAATTGACAATTCCTAATATAACTAAGTAATTAATGCAAATAAATCGATTTTCTATTCCCTCGACATATTATCAATCTATTCTAATATTATTTAAAATCCTTCAATCTATAATTTACTTTCAATTGAATTTCTTAAGATCTGAATAAATTGATTTTATCCTTCAATTATTGATTTTTATTCCTCAATTTCCTAGATTTATTCAATTGATTCTATTTATTTAGCAATAGATTTTTTATTTTCATCAATGCTATTTGTTTGGTCTATTTTTCGACTCTCAAATTTAACACTAGGTCTTATTATTCCTTATTATTATTAATTTGTAGAATCATTCAAAATTGTTGGCTTAAAGGTTTGGTATTACATAAAAATAGTATATTTTTTAATTTCAAAAATAAATAATAACAATCACTTATTATTTAATCTAGTGATTTCTTCTAAACATTTGCTAACATCATTTTCGTTTTATAATCTTGTTTCTCTTAAGACTTTTTATCTTTCTAATGATAAATGGTATACTTACATAAATAATCTTTAATAACTTTCCTTTCTTCCTAAAATTTATTTAAAGATTTAGCATACTAATTTTAGACCATCAATTTAGAATTTTCTTATTCAGCGAATTTAATTCTTAAAGTGTCACATTCGATAATCAACTACTAATTATTATGAATTAATTATTCTATCTATTGTTATTAATGTTCATTTTTCTAAAGCAATTATATGTTCATATTCTTTAAAGATTTAAGTTCATGATCTAATTAGTACTCCTTTGAAGAAACTTTCTAGAATATAGCATATAAAATACATTTTAATTGCCTAATTCTTTAGTTAACATACCCATTTAATGTTGCATTTTTCCAATTTCTTAAGTCATTTGATTAAGTTAATCTTTATAATTTTAAATTTAAAGTTCTAATCTCTCGATTTATTTGATTAACTGTTTATTATCTATAGTAAGTTTTTCATTTTAAGACTTATAAGATTCCATTTCACTAACGAATTGCTATTTATTTTCATTTTCAACTTGAAACTTTTTTTCTTTATGAGTCTAAATGTCATTCATTTATTTGATTTAAAATTACAAACTTTCTATATACTATTATTTTGCTGCTAGAGTTGTTTGATATTTTTCATCTTAATCTTAAATTTATTAAACAATTTTTGTATATGCATCTCTTAAATTATTTACTTCATCTGTTAGAGCTTGATTTTCATAAACCAAATATTCCATTTGTTCCTGATTATTTTAGCAAGACATTAGTTCATTTCTTAATTAATCAATTTCTGCTCTATGTCTAGCTACTGCTTGCATATTAAATTCATGTCTGCGATTATAATCAATTTCCATTCTTTATTTTTCTTCTGCTAATAGATTATATCTATGTTCTAAATTTGTGAATAAGAAATTCAAATCTTAATAATCTTTTTCATTTTATTAGAGAGTGATTATTTATTCCTTTAGCTGATTGATTTAATCCATCATTTTCTACTTATGTTCGTTAATTGTAAATATTAATTATAAAAATAATGAGAACATAAGAAAGTGATAAAATAACTTGTTTATCATTAAAAAAACTCAAAAATCAAAAATTCTATGAAATAATATTATTGAAAGAGAGAGTTGCACTTCTCTAAAAAGAATCAGAAAATATTGAAAAACGAGCAGACCCTTTAAAGTCGAAACTTTTAAAGAATGTTGAAGAATCAAAAAGGCTATATGAAGATATAAAAGAGAAAGTATAGTTATTAATAATAAGGAATAAGAATATGAATAATTTATTTAAAACGAAAAAGAAAAAGAATAAAATGCAAAAAGAATGAAAAAAAATTTTTTAAAGTTTTCATCAAATGATGCTTTATAATTTGCTAGAGAGCATGCTTTGAAAGAAAAAAAAGAATAAGCATTGAAAATAAAATAACTTCGTGAGAAAGATAAATTATTAATAAAAATGAATTAGGATTCGTATATAAAAGAGAAAATATTGAATAAGTATATTTTTTATGTTTTAAAACCGTATTTAGATATGAAGTGCAAAAATAGGAATAGTAAATTAAGGAGAAATTAAAAGAATATCATGAAAATAGATAATAAAAATTTTAAGAAATGAGTTCTATTGAAAAATCTTAAATAAAATAAGAGTTAGATAGTAAAGATTAAGAACTAAAAGCATTAGAAGAATTAGAAATGAGATTTTTACAAAAATTGTAATAAAGCAAATCGTAATAGCTATAATTTAAGAATTAAATAAAAGATGCAATGGAATTAAAGTTAGAGGATTATAAAAAAAAGTACTAAAAGAAATAGAAACGAGAATGAAATTGAAATATATATAAATATAAATAAAGGATAGCAATTTTAAAATTAATTTAAAGTTCCAATTTTCTAAAATTTATTATGACAGAAACCATCGAAAATCTTCGAGACTTCAATTATTACTAATTAACAAAAGATGTCAATAAAACAGTAGTATTAGCAGAATACATTTGGATAGATGGAACAGGAGAATCGTTAAGATCAAAGACAAAAGTAATTCACACGTGTAAAATATTTAGGTTTATTAAACTCAAATAAAAACACTTGAAGATTTAGAGTGGTGGACATATGATGGATCATCAACAGATTAAGCAGTGACTAGATTTTCTGAAATATATTTAAAACCAGTTCGAGTAGTAAAGGATCCATTCAGAGGTGATCCACATATTCTTGTATTATGTGAAACATACTTACCAGATAAAAAGACACCAGCAAGATATAATTTTAGGTAATAATAAATGTAAAGTAATATTTAGATGGATAGCAAATTAAATAATGGAGAAAGCTAAAGATCATAAACCATGGTTTGGAATTGAATAGGAATATTTCTTGTTAAAAAGAACAGGAACAACTCATTTATGGCCTTTAGGATGGCCAACAGGTGGTTTTCCATATCCATAAGGGAGATATTATTGTTCAATTGGCGAAAGAAACAATTTTGGAAGAGCTTTAGCTGAAGCACATTTAAGAGCATGTTTGAATGCTGGATTAAAAATTGCTGGATTAAATGCTGAAGTTGCACCATCTTAATGGGAGTTTTAGATAGGAATTGCTGAAGGTATTGAAATAGGAGATCATATGTGGTTGGCAAGATATATTTTAGAAAGGATTGGTGAAGAATTTGGAATTGATATTAATTATGATCCTAAACCTATTCTAGGAGATTGGAATGGTAGTGGGGCTCATTGCAATTATTCTACTGTTACAACTAGGTCTGAAGGAGGATATCGTTATATTGTTGATAAATTAATGCCTATTCTTAAAGTTAATCATCTTGAAATGATTAAATTATATGGATAAAAGAATGAATTAAGACTCACAGGTAGACATGAAACAGGAAAATATGATTAATTTACTTGGGGAGATGGATCAAGAGGATGCTCTGTTAGAGTACCTATTATTACTAAAGAATAAGGATAAGGGTATTATTATTCTATTTATATATAGATATTTTGAAGATAGAAGACCAGCTGCTAACATTGATCCATATTTAGTTTCTGCTGCTCTTGTTGATGTAACTTGTTTAAACGGTGAACATCTTAAATAATTGAATTCTATTTTTGAAGACTCCTTAAAACCATTGGGATAATAAATATTTTAGTAGCAAAAAGAATAATTCTAATAATCCAACGAATGAAAATAATCATATTTTGTGTTCATTTATATAATAAATTAGCTTGATTATTCAATTATTTCCTCTTAAATTTTAATGAGCCAATAATGTATAATCCATCCTCAGTTAAATTAGTGAAACTGCATTTTACAAACATTATTAAGATTATGTATATCTATGGCTTTTTCCATTAAAATTTTAGTTTTCATAGATTGTCAATCCATAACCTTAGGGAATATACAAAGATTTTATTTAATGTTTAAATTTTCTAAAAATAATAATTAATATATTAAATATACTCTATTTCTTTTAAACTATTGCAAACTTCCAAAGCAAATCCCTAATACTCACATTCAGAATATATGATAATGCAATTAGCTTATTTTATATCATTAGCCATTTTAAGGTCATCTTAAATATTTTCCATAGATAATTATTCTTAACTTTAGATATCTTTTATTTAAGAATCAGAGCTTTCTTAATTTTTTTATTATTATTCTTCACTTTTCTAAGACTCTTTTTATTAATTATTTTCCTATGTTGATACAATTTCTGAAACTTATTCATTAACACTATTTTGTTATTATTCTTATTATTTTTATTCAGGTATAATCTTATTGTCTAATTATGAATTTTATTCAACAGAACCAATAACTTTAGAATTTTATACATTATTATCTATTTATTATTCAGAAACTTATGGATTTTCTATATTTTATTGAATTTAAGTCTCTTACTTAGGCTGTAATTCAATATTTTATTAGCCTAATAATTCATCAGAAGGAGCTTATACAATTTGTGCTGCTGGTTATGTTTATAACTTTTAATCTATTTCATTTTCTTGTTAGTTTTATTCATTTTATTCTTAGTTTTATTGCTATTATATTTCATCATTATTTGATGTTTCATCATTTGCAATCATATTTTTTTAATTTACATCATAAGAATTAATATTTTACAAAATTGAATCATTTTCATCAAATGATGTTGATGTCTCTTTATTTTCTAATTCTTGAGTAGTTTCACTTTATGTTAATGAATTGATAATTTCTGTTTCATCCTAAGGTTATTAAATATCGATAACTTATTCTTATGATGCAACTACAGGTTATAATTATGTATCAGTTTATATTTATGTTGATTCTTCCTGCTTTTCAACAGTACTTATTTCATTTATATTCTAATCTTAGTTATCTTCTTTCATCACTTCTGCTAATTAATTTTCTCTTTCTCTTTCTTATTTTTAGTATTCTTGATATTCAAAGGATGATTCTTCTTAAGATTATTTAGTAATAACAGGAGAAATCTCAAATTCAGATTCTATTAAATTTGTTTAATCTTCAATTAAATCTGCACTTTATAATGGAGCAATATCATCATTGAAATTCATAGAATTCATAGAATCTAGGTTATCTTCTGGTTATTTATAATTTTATTGTTCATCTTCATCCTATTTTAAGCTAGAATCAAATTATGAATCCATGCTGTCTAACGAATTATAATCATCTTCTGTAGATATTTATACTTCCTCAGAGATTAAATTACCATCCAAATCATAATGTGTTGCCAGAGTTCCTTAATTGCTCTAGCTCAAAGATGAAAAAAGCAGAGTCATCAAGAAGATGAGTTTTATCATGAATGTATATTAATTATTAAAACGGATTAATTTAAAGTCAATAATTATATTAGGTTATTGGATTAATAATGATCTCTTTTTGTTTTCTCTCTAAGGCTTCTAAAACAGTTATTAATTAAGAGTAAATTATTAAAACTTTTTAGAGGCATTTAATCTAATAAAACTAATATATCAATTTATTATAGATTCATCTTCATTAAAGCCATTAATAAATATCTATTTTCATAATTATTTAATGAAAAGGATAAATCATATAAAATTTATTTATGAATAAAGCTTATTAAATTTTATTTTTGTAATCTAATAATTTATAATTAGAAGGCTATCAAAAGTTACAAATTATTGAAATATGAACATTATGATATGCATATAACTTTTATTTTAATTAGTAATTTTTAACTTAGCCAACTATAAATTTAAAAGAGGAGATATAAGAAGAAACTATTAATTGATAATCAATATTAAATAGAAATGAACTTTAACAATTTTAGAAAGATGATAGATTTTCTGAAAATAATTAGTAAAATACAAAAATCAACTAATTTGAGAGATTAAAACACTTTGAACAAGGAATGTTAGGATGTGAAAAAAAAGGATTAAAAACTTATATAATATTTCAAGATTATTATATGGAAATAGAGAAGATGTATAACTTTTAAAGATAGGATGGATGACTCTAGAATCTGTATAGCAAATATATGGTGAAGGAAATAATATTATTCCTATGGTTTATGTTAATGATTTAGCAAGTATCGTAAAAAGGATTTTGAATCAAGACCATAAGATAGGAAGATTTTTGCCTTAGATTAAGAGAATATTACTAAGAAAAATTTAATTAGAATAATTGCTAAATATTTAGGGAATGGAAATACAAAAATAGTACATATTGTTCTGAAAAGATCTTAATGATGAATTTACAACTTAAGTATTTGAATCTAAGGATCAATAAATAGATGCTAAAAAAATGCCATAATTAATTAGTAATTTCAAGGGGATTAGATAGACTTCCAAAAACTTTAGATTAAAAGTTATTTCTTGAATAAAAAAAATTAACTAATTTAAAATATGAAACCAAAATTAGTGATATATTTAAATTATTCAGATAATTAGTTGAATGAAAATACTAAAATTATTATTGATCAACTTTTTTATAAAGAGGATTGGATGAGTAAAATGATTTCTAATTTTAAAAAATCAAAAGATTCTTTACTAAAATAATATGAGCAAATTTCAATAAAGAGGATTGTACTCTAAAACTATTTTATATTTGGCTAAGGAATTTATTACTTATAATGGTCCTTTTTGGATATTGTAAGATAGAAAAAGATAAATAGATTTTAATTGAAATAGTTAAAGAAGATTTATCTTCAGATTTAAAGGAGTCAAAAGAATATTAATACCAATTATAAGAGAAAGAGAATTTATACCAAATACTTAATCTTGGGTTTAATAATTTTAAGTAGGGGTTAAGAAACAAGGGTACTTATTAAATGTAAAAATAATTGTAAATTTAGAAATCACTAAATGAAAGCATAGTTTTTCAAATATCAAAATTGACTGATGAATAAAAATTTGAATAATATAAAAATTAGGAAGAATGAGCAACTAGATTTAAGAAGTAAAACACTTTGATAATATTTAGTAGATAAATCCATATAATGCTGAGGCATTTATTGTTCTTTATGAAAAGCATCCTGAAAATTTAATTCTTTTATATTAGACTTCTTTGGAATATAAGGAAATGAATTATAAGCAAATTTTTCAATAGGATAATGACAATTTATTTATAAAAAATAATAATAAATGAGATTATTAATACCTGATGATGAGGGACACTCAGTTGGTCAAATAGTTGGTTACGTAATTGGAGTGCTTTACTTTTTTGGAATGATATACTATATCTACAGAAAACATTTACTCAGCTTATTTCAAATGTTTATGAATTATTTAGATGTAATTATTTTAATTCGAAAATAGGACAATGAAAATGAAGAATAATATAAAGCTATATTGTATAGTTGTCTAAATTCAATTTAATTTCTAATACTTTGTTTTTATTCAACTTTTATTAGTGAATCAGATTTAGCTGTTTCCACAATAGTTGGCTCAGATACTTTTATGATCTTTTTTGTTTTCTCTTATATTCTTTATAAATATCCAACTTATTAACATGGAGTATTAGATACGTGGATTACTATAAGAGATGCTTTCTTTTATATTTCATCACTGTTTGTTCTTTTCATTTGTATTTTACTTGACTTTTTGAATCTTGGAACAGCAATTATTTTATTAGTAGTCTATTTTGCAAACATCATCTTTATTTTTAACAGTGAAAATGTAAAAGCTAAAATGATGGAATGGTTAGATCTAACTGCAGAAGATGAAGATTATAGTTGTGAATAACATTTAACTTATGTTAAAAGAAGAATATCTATAACTCATTTAAAAGATAACAATTATATCTAAACTGATGATCCTGCCTTAATAAGATAATTAGCCTTGAACAATAAAGCAAGCTCATAAAAAAGTGGAAGCAGAAGGATTATCTTTTAAAAATTAGTATATATTATTATCTTTGCAATTAAAAATCAAGTTAAATAAGAAAAATAATTTAGAATCGAATATTACTAAAATATGTATAAAGTAAGACTTTTATAATATAATAGCCAAAATAAAGAGGACCACCTTCAAAAAAAAGCAAAATTGAACCTGCATCCTCAGTTCCAGAATCTCATCATTAAAATGTGAATGAAGATATTCCTTTAATGGAAAAAAATGAAATTCCTATAGAACATTAAAAAGATCAAGAAGGCGGTTAAGAGAATGATCAAGATTAAGACCATTAATAATAATAGTAAAATTTAAATTTAATTATTTTAGACAAGAATAAGAGGATGGTAAACAAAAATTGAGTCTTCCTAAAGGCGGACTAGATAAAGTACTTTTTATTTTATTCTTTCCTGCTCACCTTATATGTCATCTGATTCCAACACCAAAAGATGATGCTGATTATTTTAGAATTTTCTTAGATTTATTCATATCTTTAGCAATAGTAACAGGATTATATTTTTTAATTGATTGGTGGGTTTATGAAATTTTTGATGGTACTGGAATTCCTATATAAATATTGGGATTTATATTTTTAGGTATTTTAGTTTCAGCTTAGCTTGCTTATCATCAAATTGATATAGCTAAAGAAGAACTTTCATTGAAATTTACTTAAGCATTTTTCTAGACAGCAATATGTAAATCATCTCTTTGTATTGGGATTACTTGGGGCATAAAATCTTTATTTAATAGTGATGTTGAGTTAATTAGAAGGAGCAGTAAATACTCAAAAACCTTTGCTTTATGTATAATTATTGTTTGTGGACTTGTGGCAATTTTATTATTTTAGTGTTGGCTTAAAAGATTTATCTTAGCTAAAGCAGAAGCTTAAAAATACATGGTTGTATACTGTCTCTTATTAATTGTAATTGCAGTTATAATGCCTTTAGATGTAATTAAATGAGTTATATTAAAAATTTAAATTATTTGTTTTCTAACTTATAATTAACTAGTAACTATTTTATTTTATTAATAACAAAGCACATATTTTATACACGTTATCATATTACTTCTATATTTCTATTCATATTAAAAAAATATGAAATTATTGTTAACACATCATTTTCCTAAAATTATTAATCATTATTTTAATAATTACTATGTTTGATGATGATAAAGATAGAAAATTAAAATAAGCAAATGATAATGTGAAATATTTAGAGTCTTAATTAACTGTAATTTTATACTAAATAATAAGCCATTAGTTGAAAGCAACTCAAAATTAAAAGAAAGTATTCATGCATTACAATATTATATGGAACAAAGAAGATTAGACTTTGCTCATTTGTTAAATTATTAAAAGGAGCATCCTCTAAAAATTAATTTAAGTGATATGGTTGATGTATATGAATGGTTAAAGAAGGATATTCAAAATTATTTAGATTAAATTCAAGAATTAGAAACTGAAAATAAAATGTTTAAATAATTTATCTAATAATAAGATGAAGAAAATAAAATTAAAGTTGAAAAGCTTAATGCAATCATTCTATAACATGAACAAACTATAAAAAATTAATAAGAATAATTCATTTAAGAATAAATAAAAAATTAAGATTATTAATTGTAACTTAAATTAGAATAAGAGAAAAAATTACAAACTCAAGAAAATAAATATCAAGATATGATTTAAAATATTGAATTAGAAAAGAATGAAATTTTAAGAAAATATCAGCAATTAGATGATGAATATCAATAAAAATTAAAAAAATAAAAGTAAGAATTGATAAATTAATTTGATAAATAAGAAAGACAAAATTAAACTGAATTTACAAAATAAATAAAAGAGTTAAATGATTAAATCTTAAAAGCAGAAATAAAAAATAGACAACTTTTAACTGAGTTATAGAATATTAAATAAGACAATGGCCTATTAGCTTAATAATGTTCACAATAATAAAAAAATTTAAATAAATTGAATCGATAAGTTGAGAATTTATTATCAACTTTAAAAACATCAAGAGATGAGAATTCTGGATTAAATTTTGATAAAACAAATCTACAAAATTAAATTGAATAATTAAAACTATAGATTGATAAATAAAATAAAAAAGATATCGAGATTCAATAATATATTAAAAATTAAAGAGATTAATATATAGAGTTATAAAATAAACATGAAAATCAAATTTCTGAATCAGAAATTTAAATTAATGATCTCACATCTCAAATAGAAAAAAAGGATCTATGTATAAAAGAATTATCTGAGATGAATATAAAAATTAACTAATTATATGAGGAAAAATTAAATAAATAAAGAATTAAGTATGAATAAATACTTTATCCAAATCGATTCATTAATACAGATTAATTATTATATAAAGAAACTATGATTTAACATGACGATACATTAATAAAAGAAGTTATTGAGGATTATGAAATGATGCTTTCGTAATATGCAATTTAATTAGAAAATCAAACAACTAAATTGAAAGTTTTAGAAAATTCAATTAAAGACAAATAAGCTGCTCTAAAATTATAATTTGATTAGAAGGCATCTAAATTAGCAAAAGATTATGAATAAAAATTTGTTAAAGAGAGTAAATAACAAAAATAAATAATTGAAGAATTAAATTATATAAAGCAAAGGGAATTAGAAGCATTAAAAAATAAATAAAATGCAGAAATAGAAAAATTAAATGTAGAAAATTAAAACAAAAATTAACATTATATTAATGAAATTTAAAATTTATAGAACGACAATAATGAAAATGCTAAAATTATTGATTAGCTTAACTAATTAATAATATAATTATAAGATACAACTTATTAACTAAAATAATCCCATGAATAATAATTAGAGATGCTTCGAAATAATCATGCAATAGGAAAATAATAATTAACAGTGGCTTTTGAAGAAAGATTTGATAAAGTTAATTAGGAATTAAAAACTCTTTAATTAGAAAAAGAAAGCTTTGATATTGTTCGAATTTAAGATTAAAAGAATTTGAATGAAGGAAAAAAGAAAATTGAATAACAATAAACGATTATTATTTAAATAAAAGAAGAATCTAAACAATAATAATAGATTATTAATGAGTAATAATGTATGATGGAATAGTATTAGCTATAGATTTAACGATTAAATGAAGGAATCAAATAATTATAAAATGAAAATGAAAATTCAAAATAAGTTTACAATATCTTTAAAAATTAAACAATGGTAATGCATAGATAATCTGATGATTTTCATTATAAATCTGACTTAAAGAAAGTTTCTAATACATAATTTAAATTCTAAAGAACAAAATAAGTTACTAGATAATCAAATAGACCAGGATTGCATAATACATCATCAAATTTTATAATATCAAATGGAGAGTAATAGCAATTACCAAAAGTTAGATCGATATCAACAAACTAAATCAGAACAACTCCTAGACATCATTCATCTTAAGTATGATATAAATTTATTTTTAACATTTTTTCATAAATTATAAGATCTTTTTTCTTCACTAACATAAGAATAATAAATTAATTAACGAATTGAATGTCAATTTAAAAAAGAAAGAGAATATTTGATTCTTCTGATGATCATTCTCCAATAAGAATAGTTTAAAAATATTGTGCAGCAAATTTATGTTTTGATGAAGATACTAAGAATCATTTTATTAAAGAGATTGAAGAAAGGAAAAAAAAAATTAATTCAATTGAGGTTAATTTTACGAAAGAAGAAGTAGATAAAGTAAGAGATTACACATTAAATAAATTAAATTTAACAGCATAAAACATTCAAAAACAAATCAATTAAATAAAACCTTCAGAGATTAGCCATAAGATCTTTGAAGAAAAAGCTATTGATTTTGAAAACAAAAGAAATAAAATATATACAAAATTTTAGGAAGATATTAAAATCATCGATTAATCAATCTTAAATTGTATAACTGATGAAGAACTTCATCAATAATTAGCAAGTATAAAATTTTGATTTTTTTTAGAATATAAGGTTCCTGCAACATGTATTACAAAATGGACTTGTGATGGATTTTTAGAATAAAGTTTGGCTGAGATTTAAAGTTTCTCTATCTAAATTCAAAATTAATTAAATAACTATTAAAAGTAATTATAACCTCCTCCTTCTTCTGACATATAGCAATTAAATTCTTTATTAGAATCAACTAATAATTACGATGAATTGTAATGTGATATGTTAGAATTAGAAAAATAAATGGCTGAATTTTAAAAATAACTTGAACTTGAGGTTTGATATTAAAATATTGACTTTTTAATTGAAATATAATATTAAACTATTTTTATTTGAATTATCATTAACATATTTTTGTTTTCAAAAGTACACATTCCTTAGAAAAATTAAATGAAAAATCAAATTATAATATTGTGATTAGTTTATAAATTCTAAAGATAATATTTTTATATTAATATGTCATAAATTATCTAAGAAATAATATAGTAGTAAAAGATTAAGGAACATATCTTAACAGAGGTTGTTGGACACACCTTAGAAATTACGTTTAATCGTCCCGAATTTCATAATGCCTTTACAGTTGGCATGTATGTGATGTTTTAAGAATATGTGTTGTAAGCAGATAAAGATCCAAATGTAATCTGATGATTTAGTTTAGATTTATTAAATATTAGTTAAGAGTAATGGGAAATCATTTAGTTCAGGTAATGATCTGAGAAATTTCGATGTATGGCCTGGACTTAATGATGAGGTAAATATCATAATTTAATATAATAGGAAAGAAAATAAGCATCTCTTGGTTTAACTAATATGCTTAGAGATTTTACTAGTTCTTTTTTGAATTTAACCAAACCAATTATTGCTTGTTGTTAAGGAGGTGTTATCGGATTCATTTTCCCATTACTATCAATTTTTGATTAGGTTTATGTGACAGAAGATACTTACTTTTTTGCACCTATGTTATTGTTTGGATAAGTATTCATATAAATTTTTAATTTTAGGGAGTCGAAATGTTTTCTAGTTATACCTTTCCAAGAATATTTGGTTAAGGAAAAACTTTTAGTTTATTATTCCGAGGATAAAAGCTATCAGCTAAAGAAGCATTACATTTTGGATATGCCTAAGAAATATTCAAAACTTAAGATGAAATGATTAAAAAAGCTAGGCAAATTTGTCAATAATTAGAATAGTAAGATTAATCTGCTATTAATCATGGAAAAAAATTAATTAAAAGAGCAATTTACGATGTATATACATAAGTTTATATAATTATATAGCAACTTAAGACATCAAATGAACAAGAGTTATTAAATTTAGAGAGAATTTGGTCTGGGGATAAGTTAGTTGAAAACGTATTTAATTATATGTCGAGATTGAAAGCAAAATTATGATAAAATAAAATATTTAACATTCATTAATAGTATGATTCTGTTTGATTATGAGAAAGAAAGCAAAAAATTTATTTATTATTTTTAATTACAATAATTCATTTCTATTGAGTGTGTGGAATTTTTTAATTATTTTTGTATTTAAAAATTATGAATATGTAATGCACACTTAACAAAGAGATTCTCCGTTGCGAGACACCTTCGACAGATGAAACAAATTATGATATCATTGAATAATAATGCTATTTGACATAAATAATTGAATTAATATTTGTGGAGAACTATACATACAAAGAATTGTAGAAATACTTTACTTATACATTCTAATAAATAGAATAATATGATTTCTTTTTTGACTAAGTTTACAAATCTGTAAGGATATACATGGAAGTAAGATATGATTCTTATACTAGAAAATTCTTCAACATATTAAGTAATTTTCTTAAATTACAAAACCTATTGATATCAAACATCTAAAAGATTATTGCACAATAATTAAGGAGTTAGAAAAATCTTATAAGGTAACTTAGTTAAAGCATAAAGAACTACAAGAAGTAGTAAAATCATTTTCAAACAAAGAAAAAATTTCTTAATCAGTTCATTGCTTAAGATTGATGAAATACTCTTTTATAAATATAGTATTGAGAAACAAAGAAGTAAATGTAAGAATCTGATGTAAAATATAGGACTTTTTGAACTCAATTAAGAAAATATTAGATAAATGTTTCTATTCATAAACCTAAAAATATTCTAAAACTAAGGAACGATTATAGTTATTTATATCACTTTCAAATGAAAAATAATAGGATTGTCTAAGCTATTATGATGATAAAAAAAAGTGGAGAGCATCATCTATAATAAATAACTCTAATAATAATAATTATAATGAAAATACATCTATAATTGTTCAAGATAATAATGCAATACGAAAGAAAGTATAATAAGAAAGTAATGGGAAACTTAATGAATATAAAAAATTTGAATAAAACCTAGAAGAGTACTTTTAGGCAAAAGTAAATATAGAAAAAAAGGAAATAAATGTATCTTAAGAGTGGATAAATAGATTAAAACAAAAAACCAAAAAAAAATGAATGTGTTTTAGATAAACATATTGTATATTTTTAATTAAGAAATCTTTTGGATTAACGATGATCTGGATTGTTTATAACTAATAATTCATATTACCTATATAACAAAAGATTTCTTATCATCTATTTTTCTTAGTGTTAAAGATTATTTCATAAAATTAAATCTTTTATTAAATAATCAAATGGCAAGAGGTACACCAGCAATAGGTAAAAGACATTAAAAGACTCATACTTTCTGTAAGAGATGTGGTAGATAAACATTCCACATTTAAAAAAACAGATGTGCATCATGTGGATATCCAGCTGCCAGATTGAGACTCTGTATTAAAATGAATTAATACAATTTTAGACAGTGGATGGGGTGAAAAGGTTGCTAGACGTAGATCAACTGGAACAGGAAGAATGAGATATTTGAAATCAATTGCTAGAAGAGCAAAGAATGGTTTTAGAGCAGGAACTTAAGCATAACCAAAAGTTAAAAATACATAGAAAAAGTGATTTAATCATGCTATTATTACAAATAAGTACAATAATTTTCACATTATCTTTTTCATCACGATATTATAATTACATAATAGATTAGCATTTTTTATATATAAAATGTAAATCAACTTTTTAAATTCATTTTTATTTTTTTTCTGATCTATTATTCTTCGAATTGTTGTTAGTTCTGCTGTTATAATTCTTATACTTATACTCCATCAGTCTAATATTCAGCAATTATGTCAAGTCTAAAATTGAAAACGAAATAAATTATACAATTCATCTTCATTATTTTCATCATCTAAAATTGAAATGATTTTTATTTTGTTAATTAGATTTGTAATAGTTTTCAATACCATACTTATTTAATCTTGCCAATCTTAAGAAATAAATAATCTGGGCTTTTGATTTATATCTTTTGAAATTGATATTTTGAATCCATATCCATGAAAAGGAGTTAATACATTTGGCTCTATGCTAATAGTATTAACATTTTTATAAGTATTTATAAAATCATCAAATTTATATGATGTTAAAAATCCACTATTTAAAACAAGAGATGTTTCCTATTTTTAGCTATTTAAATTAATTTCTAAGCTATTTCTATTCAAAATTAATTAAATTGCTTCTTTTTAATTAAAATCATTTAAGTATTCTGAGATTTCTGAATCAACTTCTAATAAATCAAAATGTTTTCTATTTTCCATATATTTCCTTATCAATTCCATTTGTTAGATTTATTCTTATTAAGAAATAATTGGGCATTCTATAGTAAAAAATGAATCCTTGAAAAAAACAATCATTTTAAATGTTTGTATAACTCTTAATTGTGAGATAGTGTAATAGACTTAAATCTCTATTTTTTTAATTTATTTTTTAAACGGTTTTAGACTAGTGTATAGTTATAAAATGTTAATTTCAAAGACTAATTTATCTAATAAGGCATTGAGTTTTTATAATTTGATTTATAGATCTGAAGCTAAAGATTGAGGCATTTTATAATGAATGGAATTGGTTTGAAATGATTCAAATGAATTAGAATTGAAATAACAAAAAAAAGTGGGTTTTTTAGTATCAACATCTTCATATTATTCATAATTGCTTAATAATAGAATTCCTAAATTTAATATATTTATCTATACCATTATTTGAGAAGTAACAATTTAAATTCTAATCAATAGAATGACATGTTTTGAGTGCTCTCAAAAATTATTCTGTTTATTTAATTACATAATTCATTTATAAATATTATAGTTTATGTAAAAATAATATAATAATTCAAATAATATTCATTCCTTTGCATATTTATTCATCTTCTAATTTATTTTGATATAATATTATGAAAATATAAATGAACAGAAGTCCAACCAAACCATAAAATATGTATTAAAATTATTTTTTTCTATGAATATATATAATGATAAATACAAATTGCTTTATGCATCAGCAAATGCATATCCAATTCCAATAAGTAATCCTACAACAAGTCCTCCTAAATGACCAGCAATATCAACTTAAGGAGGAGCGTCAATAAATGATAAAAATATCATGGGAGCTAATAAAATGAATACAACAATTCTTTTTGGTTCAATTCCAGGAAATGCAGTTATAAAATAGATTAATTCAAGTGCTAATAAAGCAAAAATAGATCCACTAGCACCAACTGATGTTTCATAATAAAATCTAACACATGAAAACAAAGAAGCTCCTATTCCACCCACAATATAAAGAATTGAAACTCTTCTCCAACCATGAGTTAGTTCTAAAATAAATCCATAATATAATTAAACAGCCATATTGCCTATAATATGAGAAAAGGATCCATGAAGAAATATAGGACAGACTAATCTCCAAAATTAAAAACGGTATACAATTGATGGAGTATGTTTTGAACCCCAAGTGTATAATACACATTCAAAACTATAAATATCTGATTCATCTTCATCTTCATCCAAATATTTTTCAGTCAAATAAACAGTATGAAAAATAGTTAAAAAGAATATAATGAATTAAACAACAGTAGTTTTGAATGTTAAAGATTTATATGAAAATCTTTCAAAGAATGTTTATTCCTAAACTTATTTTGTTATCAATAGTTACTTGGTTTGTATGGATGTAATTCATTTTAATGTTCATTATGATAAAAGGGATCTCTTTCCATAATTAATATATTATAATATGAAATATATAATTAATCTATTTTTTCAAGGTTCCCATTTAATAACTTCAATAGCCTAGATTGCATATGGACTTATGTATTCATATTAAGGATCAGTTGAAAAGTTCTAAAGAGTAGGTAAACATTTATAACATTCCTTTCTTCCTTTTGGATGTTCAGCAAGACTTGTTACTAATTGAACACTATTTAATTTAATCTAATGATCCTTATGACTAAGTAATTTAATAACAATATCAAGTTAATTATTATCCATCATTTAAAATTTACATTCATTATGTTATGCTAAACTAGCCAAAGCTATTGTTGCATTTGTTATAACTTCATTATTATCATCTAATAATCTTGCACATAATTCAAGTACGCATCCTTAATTAATTATTTCTAATTTTCCATTTGCATCATAAGAAATACAAGCCAAATTCTTACATGCTAAAGATCTTAATTTAAAGTTTGTTCTTTTTAATAATTAAGTTAATCTTTTAATTGCTTATGTTTTTAACACTTCCACTTATGCATCTCCACAATATAATATCTTTTCTAATAATTATAAATCCAAAATTAATAAATCTTCAACACTCTCTTCCACTAATTTATTTACTAATGGTGCCAAAATTCCCTATGCATATACATGATCAACTCCTAAACATTCTTAATAACTTTACCTTATTAAAACTCTGTCATATTCAATAAACTAAGATATCCATTCTTTCTTATATTAACTACTTAATCATTTAGAAGTTTCATTATTGTAGGAACATAATACTTCTCCATTATTTTATCCCTTCCAAATTTTATTGAACTTATTAACACCTTAATATTTATTCTAATTATTATACAATTGCACTTGAAGATAATTCTCTAATTCGTTCATGAACATTTGATAAGTGACTCATTAAAACATCTAATATTTCACTTGATAATAATGCCAATGTTATAAAGTCTCCTCTATGACTATTATAATTTTCATTATCATAAATACAAATCTTCATTTATTTCCTCTAAGTTCTTCAGTTTCAAAATGTCATCACTTGCAAATATTTAATTAGTCATCTTCACATATCTGCGATCCCCATATGCAAATTATAAACAATCCTCTGGTTAAGGTTCATAATCTTCTCTATTTCTATGGTATGCTATCATTTATTCATTTCTCAAATTAAACTCCATTTTATTTTATTAATAAAATGCAATCACATCATAATATGTTTGTATTCTCCAAAAATCTTAAAATTAAATTAAAAAACATTCCAATTAAGGTAATATTTTATTAATAACCTGATCATTTCAAATAATAATTCAATTTTATGCAGCATCTCCTTTTTGAAAAATATAAGAATATTATCATATTACTGTAAATAATTTAAAAACTAATCTAATTATCATTGAACATAAAGATTATCCTAATGAATTTTACTTAAACCTGATTCACAATATATATATTTTTTAGGTGAACAAGATCATAACATCTAAATCTATTAAACAAATGATTAACATTTATTACTTTTGAAACATATAAACATTTAAAATTATCTTTTACAATAAAATTCTATATTTAAATTTAAATATAAACTAATGATAGAATAGAAATATCTCATATAATTAGGGAACAGAGCCTATTAATTTTTAAGGCTTTCCTGAAACTATTTTTTGGAGCTTTCTAAATAATAAACCTTTTCTTTCGATATTTTAAATTTGAGATAAAAAAATAACTATGCTTTAAAATACTTAGAAATAAACACAAAAATTTATATGTTGTTAATATAAATTGAGACAAATTATTTAAAAAAAAAAAGAAAAGGCTGGAATATCTATAATCTAGCTGTTATTTACATCATTTTGATTTAAGAGTTTATGATCTACAATAGAATAAATTAATTAGAAATTGCAATATTCGTCAAAAGAAAAGCCCATTTGTATCTATTAATATTTGGAATAGTATTAAGGTTTTGTTGCATATTGAAATGATATTTTCGTAAATAAGTTGCTATCAATAAAATTTCTATAAATTCACCATATATTAAAGAATAAAAACCAAATCTCTTTCAAAAAGTTAGTTGTATCTAGATTAAATTTCTGTTCTAATATAATAAAATCTTGAATCCAATATATGATTATAAATTGATTGAAATTCAAGTAATCTATATCTATTTTATTAATTTGTGAAGATCTACAACTACCTCTATCAGTATATTTATTATAATCAAATATCTTAAAAAATGTCTAAAAATTAATTGAGATTATAAATATAATAAATGAAAGGTAAATAATTTTAGTTCATATATTTTTTGTTTGAGGATATTGTCTAAAATTGATAAAAAATACAAAATATCTTTGATGATTATTAGTAAACTTATGACGAGATGTCATTTCTAAAAATACAATTTAAATTATCGTTAAAATGGATATTTAGCAATTTGAAAAAGAACTTGTAACAAAACTTTAATTCAAAGCTTCTTCAAGAATTGGAGTTGAAACAGTTTTACTTAAAATTTTCAAATTCTTTGATCTCAACAATGAAGGGTATTTAAAGAAACAAGACTTTCTGAAAGCAATAGCAAAAGCAGGTGTTACGATTTCAGATTAAGAAGTATAAGAATTTGATAAATATAGTTTGGAGAAAGACTTTGGTCAACTTATTCAGTAAACGAATAAGTGTAATATAAGGAGTTTATCAATAGAGTTGTTGGAAAACAATCATTGGAGGAATAAGCAGAATCAAGGATTGTTCAAATAGGAAATCCTTTAGAATAGCTAAGATTAAAATTATAATTAAAAGGAGCATTAGGCATTTTGAATTTAGCGATTAGTTTACCAAATTAGTTTACTGCTTAACAATTGCAAGATTATTTGAAAAGAAATAATATAGATGTAGATGGGTTATATTAATTATTCAATGGAGAGTATATGAGTGCTTCAAATTTGATTAATTAAATAAAGGGTTAATATTTGAATCAAACAAGGTAAGGAGTAGTGTCAGATGTATTTTATACATTTGAATAAAGAGAAATAAGCCCATAATAATTGGTTAATAGATTTAATGCAGATAGACATCCTGAAATTAAAATACTAAATAGATCTCCTAATGATGTTCGTGAAGAATTTTTATCAGGATTGAGTGTTTATCTTTAATTAAGAGGAATTAAAGTTCTAACAATACAAGATTTTTTTGATTTTTATTCTTATTTTGGATTTTATGTGACAAATGATGAAATTTTTAAGACAATTATAACATCAGTTTGGGATCTAAATTAATATTAATAATAAGTGCCATAATATGATACTCCCCCAAAAAGTTTAAAATAATAATAATAAAATTATTCACCTGAATCATAATAGAATATAATAACAAATCCATAAATTGTTTAATAATTAAACTTTTCTCCATCTTAAGATAAATCTGTAAAATCTTATTAATAGTAATAATAATAATAATAATAATAATAACGTTAATCAGTTCCAAAATCAGTAAAATCTCATTAATCAAATGCATCTCAGATGTCATCAACATCTAGATAAGTTGAATTAATAGTATAGAGAATAAGAAATAGAGTGATTTCAAGAGGAGCAAGAGGCTTTATTTCTTTATATAGAGTTGGAAAGATACTAGATGCTGATCATGATGGGATGTTAAATTTAACTGAATTTAGAAAAGCTATAAGAGATCATAAAATTGAAGTGACAGATCCTGAAATAGATCTTGTTTTTTAATATTTTGATAGAGAATAATCAGGTTTAATAGATTTATGGGGTTTTATGTTTGTTTTGAGAGGTGAAATGCCATAATAGAGAACATAATTAATAGAATAATTATTTGAAAAATATAGAACAAATGATTATGTTACATTATCTACATTAAGAAATAATTTTATTTGTAGAAATCATCCAGATCTAAAGAATGGAAAGAAAAGTGATGATGAAATAATTTAAGACTTTTTTGAACCTTTACAATTATTACACAATATTAATGGAGGATTTGGTCATGAAAATATTTCAAGAGAGGAACTATTAGAATTCTTTAGTAATTATAGTGCTTCTATACCTGATGATAAATATTTCGAATAAATAATTGTTAATGTATTTAGATTATTATAAGATGGAAATAAAAGTCATCATGCTGGTAATAAATAAGTATTTGAACCAGATCATAAAAGAAGTTATTTATAAGATCATCATAGATATGTTTTATAAGGTGGCAGTGTATCTGCAAATGCACCTTTTGGAACATTTACTTAATAAGAATAATTAGCTTAATCTAGACCTTCTGTTGGTTATAATTAACCAGCTTCATTTAATATATTCAAACCTTTAGAAGATAATAAAATCAATTAAAATGGATCTTAAATTTAATAAATTCCACTTTCTCAATCATAAATTTCTTAATAATCATAATAATAATAATAATAATAATAAGAAAGAGAATAAAGTGTAAAATCTGTCAAATAAAAGATGGATGGTGTTTAAATTTTGAGAAATAAAATATCTTAAAGAGGATTAAGAGGATTAATAAATATATAATATAGATTTTAGTTGTATGATAAATCTCATTTGAATGCACTTTCATATTAAGAATGGAAAAATTGTTTTAAATAATGGAGATTAGAAGTTAGTGATTAAATTTTAGATGAAGTTTTTTAATAATTCTAAACAAATGGAATGATGAATTATGATGGATTTATCAAATAAATTTAAGGTACAATGAATCTTAGAAAATTTAATGCTGTTTAACAAGCTTATGAATCTCTTCCAAAAACAACAATTGATATAGTTAAATGTATTTAAAATTTTAATTAAAATAGAATAATTTAATGCAAAAGATCATCCTGATGTAAGAACTAATAGAAAAAGAGAAGATGATGTTTTATGTGAATTCATAGACACATTTGAATAACATCATATTGTTTTTGTAAGATTTAATAATAATAAATCTAGACTGGAGGAGATTATGTAAAGAATCCTAACGTGACTTTTGAAGAATTCATTGGGTATTATAATAATATAAATGTGTTAATTGAAGATGATATTCAGTTTGAATAATATGTTTAATCAGTATGGAATTTAAGAAGGAGATTCTGATTATATTATATTAATATATCATAATTATAATATAGAATTAATAAATGTATTTAACATATTTTTGATAAATATTTTTTATTTGATCAACTTAATAGCCATAATTTAATTGTTTGGTCTACAGAACATGTGGCAAATANAATATTAATGGAGGATTTGGTCATGAAAATATTTCAAGAGAGGAACTATTAGAATTCTTTAGTAATTATAGTGCTTCTATACCTGATGATAAATATTTCGAATAAATAATTGTTAATGTATTTAGATTATTATAAGATGGAAATAAAAGTCATCATGCTGGTAATAAATAAGTATTTGAACCAGATCATAAAAGAAGTTATTTATAAGATCATCATAGATATGTTTTATAAGGTGGCAGTGTATCTGCAAATGCACCTTTTGGAACATTTACTTAATAAGAATAATTAGCTTAATCTAGACCTTCTGTTGGTTATAATTAACCAGCTTCATTTAATATATTCAAACCTTTAGAAGATAATAAAATCAATTAAAATGGATCTTAAATTTAATAAATTCCACTTTCTCAATCATAAATTTCTTAATAATCATAATAATAATAATAATAATAATAAGAAAGAGAATAAAGTGTAAAATCTGTCAAATAAAAGATGGATGGTGTTTAAATTTTGAGAAATAAAATATCTTAAAGAGGATTAAGAGGATTAATAAATATATAATATAGATTTTAGTTGTATGATAAATCTCATTTGAATGCACTTTCATATTAAGAATGGAAAAATTGTTTTAAATAATGGAGATTAGAAGTTAGTGATTAAATTTTAGATGAAGTTTTTTAATAATTCTAAACAAATGGAATGATGAATTATGATGGATTTATCAAATAAATTTAAGGTACAATGAATCTTAGAAAATTTAATGCTGTTTAACAAGCTTATGAATCTCTTCCAAAAACAACAATTGATATAGTTAAATGTATTTAAAATTTTAATTAAAATAGAATAATTTAATGCAAAAGATCATCCTGATGTAAGAACTAATAGAAAAAGAGAAGATGATGTTTTATGTGAATTCATAGACACATTTGAATAACATCATATTGTTTTTGTAAGATTTAATAATAATAAATCTAGACTGGAGGAGATTATGTAAAGAATCCTAACGTGACTTTTGAAGAATTCATTGGGTATTATAATAATATAAATGTGTTAATTGAAGATGATATTCAGTTTGAATAATATGTTTAATCAGTATGGAATTTAAGAAGGAGATTCTGATTATATTATATTAATATATCATAATTATAATATAGAATTAATAAATGTATTTAACATATTTTTGATAAATATTTTTTATTTGATCAACTTAATAGCCATAATTTAATTGTTTGGTCTACAGAACATGTGGCAAATATAAATTTATTAATTTCACATTTCAAAATGAACTTATCATGAGCATTTTCAATTTTCTTTTTTTATTTTTGTTCTTTCAAATTCCAAACCTCTAATAAATGATAATAATACTCTAATAGTCTTATCATCTGATACAGATAACATATGAATTCCATCTGGATGGAAAGAGACTCCATTAACCCAATTATCATGTCCAGATAATGTAAATAGATTAGTACCAGAAATAGTATTCCAAATTTTAATTTCTTTGTCTCTTGAAACAGAAACTAATAAATTAATAGTTTAAATGTTTTGCTATTATTGTTATGTTAATATTTATTTAGCTCCATGTTCTGGAATATATTTGACTTATTCAACTACATGTTCATGTCCACTCAATTAATGCAATACTTAAGCACTATCTATAACCCAAATATATATCATTTAATCTTAAGAACAAGAAGCCATTTGTTTTTCATCATTACTAAATACAGCACATCTGACCCATTCTTAATGCTCAGAAAAGGTTTTCTTACAAAATCCAGTCTAGACCTCCCATAATTTGATACTTTTATCTCTACTAGCACTCAATATAAAATCTCCATGATCAGAAAATTAAACTGTTGATACACTATGTTCATGACCAATTAGAGTTTTAACACATGTATGGTTTTTTAATTCCCATAATTTAATTGATAAATCCTTATTATCAAATTTAATTATACACTACTAGCACTACAAATATATTTTCCAGTAGGATCAAATGCCAAACAATTTACATTACTTGTGTGTCCTTTTAATGTTTTTTCGAAATGACCGCTTTCGTAATCCCATAATTTAATACTACCATCATCACTTGCTGAACCAAGAATTTAGTATTACGGATGAAATGCTATACAATTCACTCCTGCTCTATGTCCTTCTAATTTAAATTTCTCTATTGGTATCAATCTCTATTCATCATCAGCTATATCTTAACTTTATTTGTTGTACATTTATTAAATGGTAATTTCCCAGCTTAAGCTTATGCTAATTATTCATTCAATTGTTCTACTTGCTATTCCAATGTTATTACTCTCTTTGATAACCTTACTATTGAATTCCATTTTTTTTCCAATAAATCTGCTTCAATCTATCCATCCTTAACAACTGCTTCTACTTTAAACACCTATGCACTTTATTGATAGCTTATCAATAAATATTGATGTATTGCTTAATTTAATTCATCCCTTTGCCTTGCAGTCAATACCATAATAATAATTAAATTAATTATAATATCAAATGCATTCATTCCATTTGATATCTATTATCCAATTTCACCTCTCCTACCAATTCTGATTAAATATTCAAAAACTAACACAATCAATATCCTCTTTTATCACATACTTATACTCCTTAATTCTATCTTTATCAATACTTATTTCAATCTCAGATATGATCTTCTATTTCATCAAATTACATTTATATTGCATTATAATAGAAATTGGTTAATAATATAATGGATGGTATACATAATATATTATATTGTAACTCATTCTTTCTTACTTGCTTCTTCAAAGTTTTATCCTTATACTAAATCAGGAATATCATCCTCCTCTTTTTAATCAGCCTCAGCAATTTTTTCAACTTTTTCCTTAAAATTTTTAAATTGTGTACCTTATTCTAATTTTCTTTCATTAATTCTTAGAGAAGACTCATTTAGTTTGGACCAATGTGATTCAAAATTTCAGGCATCAACTCTGCAAACTTTTTAGTTTCAGGATTTCCAAAAATGGCAAATGTATTGCTTCCAATAGCTGCTTGGACTTCTGGTTTTGAAAAGTGAATAATTGTATTATCATCTTTGAAAAAGTTGACTTCATCAATATTTCCTAATTGTTATACTCCAAATTTCTTGATAACTTATTTAAGCTTCTTATCGTCATTTATCTATTATGATTATTTCCATTGCGTACTTAAGTTTAATGAACATTTTTATGCTTTCTTCTGGCCAAAGTGCTACCCATTTTTGTTTATCCAAATTTTTCAGCTAATTTCTTTCTATTCTCATCAATTTCAGCCTTGATTTATTCTTTATTGCTAGACATTGATTGTTTTTATTTAAATTTAAAGATTTAATTTTTTAATGACTCTCTATATATACTCTCATTAATAATAACTATTTTATTTATCCCAATTATTAGACAGACATTATCAATCCTTATGAGTCTTACCTGCTTCTAACATTACACAGTTAAATGAACAATATTTATTAAACTTATATAATAATACTATACAATAACATTTTATTTTTTTAATTATCAAAAATGGCAACAGGTAATCCTAAAAAATAATCTTAGGTGGATAAATTCTAAGGTATAATGGTGGTACTTGCTATGCAATGTGTTAAGATGTATTTTCATGGTACAACCCATCTATCTAAATCTGTTGGAAAGGATGTGATTATGCTACTGGTAGAGTTAATGATCCTGTTTTAAGATAAGAAGCTGAAGACATGTGTAAAAGATATACAGCTGAAGCTATGTGGACAAAAAAAGGAGAATTAGGTATCATTATGATTGCAATTCCATTTTATAGATAATATTGAAGATTTAAGAATTCATGCTGATATGTTCCCAGAAAATCCTAGAAATATATATAGAGCATGTTTAGCAGGGGTTCGTAGATAAAAATATTGAATCATTATAACAATATAAAAAATAATATATAGTATCATAAGATAATAATAATTAATGTTTGCTATTTAATCCTTTAATTCGAAAGATAGTTTAGATGAATTTCTACCTATGTTTCATAACAAAGATAATAAAAAAACTGCTCTTTATCAAAAAGAATAGAGCATCATCAAATATTTAAAACAATTAGGTCTAATTATGAAAACAGATCCACTTAAAAAATAGCAAGAACATCGTTCGTAATATTTTAAAATGACTATTTATTAGGAAAACAAAAATAATTGAAGTATTCGTTTCAAAGGGTGAAATTGATAGTTCAGATGAAGAAGATAGGTTCCTATCAACAACTGAAGTAAGTCCCTCTGAAGTAAATATAAAAGAATTTTGTATTTTTAATAATCCACTGATATTAAAAGGAAGGAAGTTAGATTTAGGAAGAAAACATTCTTTTGAAGACTCTGATCTTCATTGAAAGTATGATGATTCCTATATAATTAAATTCTTATACAATTAAGATATAAATATCGATTATTAATATTTGATTTCAAATGTATTTACTTGTTAGAAATATATTAAAAAGTTCAGCTAATTTACATCAAATACATATCATATTCCTTCAACTATATATTAGCTCTAAATGACAGTTTCTAGACAATTTTATAAATTATCTCTGCACATGTCTTTTTCTTAAATTTATGTAACAGCTGCAAGGAGACTTACAAAAACCCAAGAATTTTATCCTCTATCTATTTCTAAAAAGATTTATAAAAACTATTGAATTACCGATTTCTTTTGACATTGTAAATTATATGAATTTAAGATGAATCAAGAAATTAGGTTAATTTTATCTAATCAAAGTGTAAATCAAAATTATTAAAAAGTGATCACTATCAACTTATATTCCTTTTTATTTTTCCATAGGATGCTCACTATAATATTCATCCAAACACTTATGATATATTTGAATTATACCTTGCAAATAGTATATTTAAGTTTTCCAATAAGTTCAAATTTTTTTACAGGACATATTTATTTATAAATATAATTTAATTATAGAATAACTTAAGAATAAGGATCTTTCTTTTCGCTTAGCCAAAATACTTATTCTGCCCCTAATTCATTAAGAGTGATATTTTATTTAAGTTTTATCATCTCTTCATAAACTTGTAACTCTTCCATATTTACACATTTTAAGAAATTTAGATAATGAAGGAAAATGTTATTATAGGAGAAAATAGTTCTTAATGTGATATCAGGATCAATATCTTTCATGTAAATTTCTGTAAGTAATTTCATTTAAAATTTATTGATAAATCGAAGTGATTACTAATGATCGATTATTTCTTAATTAATATTGTTTACGTTTATCTATTGAAAATTTGATAATACAAGCTAACAATATTTTCTAATAATGGTCATAATAAAGTGATCTTTTTATAATATTTGTTTTTCTACTAAATTCTTTAACTTTGATTGTTTTTTAATTTCTATAATACTATTTAAAATTCTTCTTTTAATCCTTGTTTATTTCATTAATGATTAGACCTGAAATTGGCATTGATCAATTAATATTTTTTCACTTAAATTTAAGTTAGGACTACTTTCACTAGTATCTAAAATTTAGGTTACCTTTACCTAAACGTGAAAATTCTTCTAATATTTATTTATTCTAAAGTGCTTTAATCATTTCTTCAGAATTGATATTTTAAATGAATATTTTAAGTTCTGAAATGATTTTTTTAATTCTAGCATTATATAAAGGGTAATCCTATTAAATTTGTAAAAGTTATTAGCCTAATTTTTTCCATTAATTAATAGTCATAATAATTTAGTCATATTTCATACATTGTATTCCACTTAAATTTATGGTTTCCTTTTTAATTTTGAGATGTTTAATATAAGCTTAAATGGACTATTATTCAGGAGTTTATTTGTTACCCATAAGAAATATAATAAATATAAAGAAATTAAAAATCATTTTTTCCTAAACTATTAGGATTGGCTGATGGATTCAAAATCTGGAATATATGAATCAGATATATCATCTTTTTTTGATAAACTTCTTTTAAAAGTTTAACTTTAACTAATTTATTCAAAATCTTAAGAATAGATATCTGAAATAACATCTTCTTCAACAGCTTCTTAGATAGAATTAGTTCTTCTATTGGATGTTGGTTAATTTCTGGGAGTTTTAGATTACTTTAATTATTGACTTTATGAAAATTAAGATTAAACAAAACTTTCAAAGTCCTCTTGATAATTATCAGATACAACTGTTTATGTTTAAATTCTATCTTTAGGAGTAAAGTCTTATTAATTCTAATTGTGTTAGATTTGTTCAGATTTGAATTATGGTAATTAAAATTCAGTTTAGATACCCACAGAATAGAATTTAGCAGGTTTGACATATTTTTCAACTTATTCATCAGGATTATTATAAACTTTATGAACATATACTTTTTTATCTAGTAACATAGGAGGAGGACAATAAAGTTAATTAACCCATTCAGTTATTGGAATATCCTTAATTTCATCAGGTTCTGGTATGATCACAGAATTAGGATTCTTTTTTAATGTTTATTATTATGGTTAGGGATTAGAGGGAATGATTGCTTTTTATTTTTGTTAATTATTAACTTTAATTGCAGGTTTTAATGGTTTTTTAATAGACTACTTTTGAGATGCTTTAGATTCATGAAAACTATTTGGTTATCTAGAATTACGAGCATTATTAGATTTAGGTGTAGCACTTACAGGTCTTTGTTATAATTTAGGTTAAATGGGTTGTATATTTTATTAAGGCTGTTGTTATTGAACAATCTTTTTAGGTTATTAGTTTTATAATTAAAGATCTTCAGTATTTCTTGGACTTCTTTATTCAGATTAAGTATAATGATAAGAATTTTAAATTTTAGGAGTAGAGTCTTATTTCTACTTCTTATTATAAACAATTTAGTCTGGAACAGGTTCAGGATCATTAGGTTAGTCTAATGATTGTAAATAATTTTGCTGTTATTTCAATTTCATCATTTAGTTTTATCTTTCTTTTTCTTCTTTTAAAATATCAGGAATTTTATCTGGATCATGAATGCTAATAGATATATCAGCTAATATATATGTTTTACCAAAATGATCAAGTAAATGAAAATTGCCTCTTTTAAACTTTAATTCTGAATCTATATCAGGAATAAAATGCTCTAGATTAATTCTTGCTCCAGCCACAATTGCTTATCCATTCAAAAATAATATCTCAAGTGGCATTTCTCTTAAGATGTCTGTCATTTTATCTTAACTTAAATGCAATAAAATAGATTTTCCATGGCCAAATGATTTCTGTTAATCATAAGTTCCTTTTATATTACTAATAGGAGATTTTCCGTTAATTATAATTTTTGGATAATTAGCTATTGTAAATGATAGTGAAGGACTTGAGATTAATATTGGGTCTGTAATTTAAATTTATACATCGTGAACTAAGAGTTTAAATGAATAAGGCATTATTAATATATATATATATATTGTATTCAACCAACAATATTGCAACCTGTAGCTTTAATTCTTGAATCTTATCCTGCTGGAATATAAAATGAAACCTTAACAGTTCTAGTTTAATCTCCTTTCTAAACCTTACCATAAATACTATAATTGAATCCAGAAACGACTTATGTGTCTACTTAAGTTGTTTATTTCCATACAAAACCATTAAGTCCACATAGTTCTAATAAATATTATTCTTAATTCTATACCTTAAAATTCTTCTTTTGCCATAGCTGCTGCTCTTCTATATTTCATAACATCACTCTCTTATTTATTTGAACTTGTATTCTTCTTTCCTACTGCTGGATCTTATGAATCTAATCTTCCTGATATTGTTAGTAATAATAAGGTAAAAATAACCAACTTTTACATGTCTTTTTTAATATTATTAATGTCTGAATAACCTTTAATTGAAATTCCAACACTTAAATAAAATGACAAACAATAATCAGCCCCTAAAGATAAACCAAGCAAAATACAAAAATAATCAAGCTTTGACCATTTATCGGTTCACAGTGTTAAAAGTGGATTAACGTATATTAGAGATTCTTGGAAAAGTGGAATGGCTTAAGCAATTTTAAATATGCCATTTCATTTAACAATTGGTAGTAGTTCAGGTTGCAACGCTTCAGTTGGTGTCACAACTGCATTTATTGCTGCATTAACTAATGGATTCTTTAGTGGAAGTATGTTTTTTAACATTTCCTAGGTAATCACTCCATTTATATGCCATCTTGGGTTGTTATTGGACTAAACTATTAATTAGTTAAGACTTATGGTGTGGAAGTTATGCCTTGGATTACAATTATCGTAGGAATCTATATTTATATTGCTGGTCTATTGAAATGGCATCATTTATCAGATTTTATTCCTGTTTATGTTATAGAAGGATTCTTATTAGGCATTTCAAGTTTATTCTTCTTCTCATATAGTGATTATATGTTTGGCTTAACAGATAATCATTCTAATAGAGGTGTAGAACTTTATTCAACTTATTATGATATGTTTAAATCTTTTTCTGAAAGAGGAGATCTAAATTATTTTATTGGTGCATGGACTGTTTTTCTTTTCTTATAGTTAGGTAGGATATTATTTAGATAATTTCCATGGATATTAATAACAACTTTGACAGGATTAACTTTAGGAATAATTTATCCAACAGAAAAATGCTTATAATCAGCATATGGAGAAGTCACAATATATTTTAATTTTATAGAATTTGATGGACCAAAATTTCATCCTGATTTTTAAGTTGTTAGTCATCTTTTAATAGAAGCTATACCGATAACACTTTTTATTTTGATTTAAAATCAATTTTGTGCAAGGGCTGGATAATCTTTAAGTGGAGTTAAATGTAATTATGATCAGGAAATATAATGTGTTTCAACAGCAAATATTTTAAGTGGTATTTTTGGTGGTTTGCCTTGTTGTGCATCTTCAAGAATGTACATTTTAGATATTAAATTGCGTAAGACAAATTAATGGTCATCAATTCTAAATGCTTTATCAATACTTTTCTTTTATGGAGTATTTAGTAAATTCTTTATGAAAATACCTTTTTATATCATAAGTGGATAATTGTTGTATATGATTATTAACATTCCACCTTGGCATTACTATGTTAATTTATACAAAACATAAAGAAAATTAATTTTATTCTATATATTTTGTATAGCATGGCTTTGTGTGAATTATGGAGCAATTTAAAGTACTCTAATTGGAAGTATGCATGCTTTGATTATGTTTGCATAAAAGATGAGTTAGCCATCTGCAGAAGTGATGACAAATCAAAAGGAAGGAGTCTATTAGATAAATTTAAGAGATTCTAATCTTCATGAATTTGAAGAGGAATGCAATGATATACCTGCAAATATTGATGGAACATATACAGTTTATAGATTTAATGGAGCTTTAAATTATATTAACATCAAAGGACATATAGATTAGATAAAAGAATTAGCAAAGACTGATATATTTATAATAAGTTTCCGTTATGTTTGTGTATTTGATTTTTAAGCAGTGGATAGTTTAGCTATAATAATAGATAATATGAGAAGTATAATAGAATTATTATAATATAGAAAATAGTACTTAAGTATATATTACTGGTTTACATCCTGGAATGTTAGAATAATTGAGTGAGAACTAAATATTTAGGGAGTATTTTAGTTGTGAAAGCCATATGTTCCATCATATAGATAAATCACCTTCTAAATGAATGAATTCAATTATTAATTGTTTATTAAAATGTTAAAGATAGCAATAATAAAAGAAAGATTGATTGATTAAATTATATTTAATATTTTCACATTCTTTAATGACTTAATTACATGCTTTTGACAGTAACATAGTCTGAATTTTCAGTTTTTCTATTTCTTTATCTTGTAGTTGATTTTCTTCTTAATCTACTAGCCAATGTATCATCCATTTTTTCTTGAGTAATAACTTCTTCTCTGAAAAGTTCAACACTTTGACACCATTTTTGAGGAATAAGGAATTTTACTAGAACTGAGAAGATTATGCTACCAATTCCAAATCCTATGCATAATAAATGTTGTTGAAGAGTTAAATGAGAAACTTTAACAAATTTACCTCCAAATTAAATAAGTACACATTAAATAACAAGTGTGAATGTTTGTACACCCCAAAACAAGGGATTATTACATGCATTTGTGAAAGGATTGATAGTTTTATAATCCAATTATCTGCAAGTAATAGAATTAAATACTTGCATAACAACAAAGGATTAGAAGAATATACTCATTTAGACTACATTTTTATGAAACTAAATAAATAATAAAATAGAATACTTTAAGTCCAATTAATTCTTAAGGCATAGATAAGTCCATATATTTAGGTAAGACAAATAAGATAATACAGAGTACAACAATTTAGTAGATAGATCCTCCAACAATAGTTCTATTCATAGTTGGAGATACAATTTTATCTTCTCTTTTATAAGGTTATCTTTCAAGAACAGTAATATTAGGTGGTTCAGTTGCTAAAGCTAAGGAAGCAAAAGTATCCATAATAAGATTGACCCATAGCATTTCAATAGTATTTAATGGTGATTCTTTAAGAACGACAGCTCCTAAAAAAGACATGAATAAAGCTACTAAATTAACAGTAAGTTAAAATTGAATGAATTTTCTAATACAATCATAAATATTTCTACCCCATTTCATAGCTAAAATAGCAAATTACAATACCTGTAATAATGGAACTAAAATTATCATCAAGTAATATAATATCTGCAGCATCCTTAGCAACATCAGATCCAGTAATTCCCATAGCAAATCCAACATCTGCTTTTTTTAAAGCTGGAGCATCATTAGTACCATCGCCAGTAACTGCAATAACATTACCCTNGTGTATTTGATTTTCAAGCAGTGGATAGTTTAGCTATAATAATTGATAATATGAGAAGTATAATAGATATATTAAAATATAGAAAATAGTACTTAAGTTTATATAACTGGTTTACATCCTGGAATGTAAGAATAATTGAGTGAAAATCAAATATTTAGAGAATATTTTAATAACGAAAGCCATATGTTTCATCATATAGATAAATTACCTTCTAAATGAATAAATTTTATTATTAATTGTTAATTATAATGTTAAAGATGACAATAATAAAAGAAAGATTCCTTAATTAAACTTAAATTTAATATTTTCATATTCTTTAATGACTTAATTACATGCTTTTAACAGTAACATAATCTGAATTTTCTGTTTTTTTATTTCTTTATCTTGTAGTTGATTTTCTTCTTAATCTACTAGCTAATGTATCATCCATTTTTTCTTGAGTAATAATTTCTTCTCTGAAAAGTTCAACACTTTGACACCATTTTTGAGGAATTAGGAATTTTACAAGAACTGAGAAGATAATGCTACCAACTCCAAATCCTAAACATAATAAATGTTATTGAAGAGTTAAATGAGAAACTTTAACAAACTTACCTCCAAATTAGATAAGGACACATTAAATAACAAGAGTGAATGTTTATACACCCCAAAACAATGGATTATTACATGCATTTGTAAAAGGATTAATAGTTTTGTAATCCAATTATCTGCAAGTAATAGAATTGAATACTTGCATAACAACAAAGGATTAGAAGAATATACTCATTTAAACTACATTTTTATGAAACTAAATAAATAATAAAATAGAATACTTTAAGTCCAATTAATTCTTATGGCATAGATAAGTCCATATATTTAGGTAGGACAAATAAGATAATGCAAAGAACAACAATTTAGTAGATAGATCCTCCAACAATAGTTCTATTCATAGTAGGAGATACAATTTTATCTTCTCTTTTGTAAGGTTATCTTTCAAGAACAGTAATATTAGGTGGTTCAGTTGCTAAAGCTAAGGAGGCAAAAGTATCCATAATAAGATTGACCCATAACATTTCAATAGTATTTAATGGTGATTCTTTAAGAACGACAGCTCCTAAAAAAGACATGAATAAAGCTACTAAATTAACAGTAAGTTAAAATTGAATGAATTTTCTAATACAATCATAAATATTTCTACCCCATTTCATAGCTAAAATAGCAAATTACAATACCTGTAATAATGGAACTAAAATTATCATCAAGTAATATAATATCTGCAGCATCCTTAGCAACATCAGATCCAGTAATTCCCATAGCAAATCCAACATCTGCTTTTTTTAATGCTGGAGCATCATTAGTACCATCCCCAGTAACTGCAATAACATTGCCTTCAGCAATTAAACCAGTAACTAAGATATATTTATCTTCAGGAGAAGCTCTAGCCATTACTTTCATATCTCTAGCTATAACTTTAAAATTTTCTTTATTTCCTACTTCTTTAATTTCATTTCCATCTTTATCTTTAATTGTTTTAAGTCCACCTACAAATTCTCTAAATGTCTTGCCTTCTACAACCTCATATTATCCTGGTTATTTCCCGCTTTAAAGAATTCCACATTCTTTAGCTATTGCTGTAGCTGTTAATATATTATCTCCAGTAACCATTCTTACCATTACTCCTGAAGCATGACATTACTTTATTGAATTAGGTACATCTGGTCTTATAGGATCTTTAATACCAGCTATAGCTATTAGAACTAAATCCTTATCTAAATCATCTTCTTAAATTGATTAACTGTATTAAGTAAGTTAAGGAATTTATCCTAATGCACTAGAATTCTAAGAATGAGGATCCAAATCTCTATAAGCAATTGCAATTGTTCTTAAAGATTCTGAAGCAAATGTTTATATTACATTGTTATATATTTAATTTCTTGCATTCTAATCTAATGCTTATTCAATTCCTCCAGGACCCACGACCTTTATACATTAATTTAAGACAATCTCNATTGAAGAGTTAAATGAGAAACTTTAACAAACTTACCTCCAAATTAGATAAGGACACATTAAATAACAAGAGTGAATGTTTATACACCCCAAAACAATGGATTATTACATGCATTTGTAAAAGGATTAATAGTTTTGTAATCCAATTATCTGCAAGTAATAGAATTGAATACTTGCATAACAACAAAGGATTAGAAGAATATACTCATTTAAACTACATTTTTATGAAACTAAATAAATAATAAAATAGAATACTTTAAGTCCAATTAATTCTTATGGCATAGATAAGTCCATATATTTAGGTAGGACAAATAAGATAATGCAAAGAACAACAATTTAGTAGATAGATCCTCCAACAATAGTTCTATTCATAGTAGGAGATACAATTTTATCTTCTCTTTTGTAAGGTTATCTTTCAAGAACAGTAATATTAGGTGGTTCAGTTGCTAAAGCTAAGGAGGCAAAAGTATCCATAATAAGATTGACCCATAACATTTCAATAGTATTTAATGGTGATTCTTTAAGAACGACAGCTCCTAAAAAAGACATGAATAAAGCTACTAAATTAACAGTAAGTTAAAATTGAATGAATTTTCTAATACAATCATAAATATTTCTACCCCATTTCATAGCTAAAATAGCAAATTACAATACCTGTAATAATGGAACTAAAATTATCATCAAGTAATATAATATCTGCAGCATCCTTAGCAACATCAGATCCAGTAATTCCCATAGCAAATCCAACATCTGCTTTTTTTAATGCTGGAGCATCATTAGTACCATCCCCAGTAACTGCAATAACATTGCCTTCAGCAATTAAACCAGTAACTAAGATATATTTATCTTCAGGAGAAGCTCTAGCCATTACTTTCATATCTCTAGCTATAACTTTAAAATTTTCTTTATTTCCTACTTCTTTAATTTCATTTCCATCTTTATCTTTAATTGTTTTAAGTCCACCTACAAATTCTCTAAATGTCTTGCCTTCTACAACCTCATATTATCCTGGTTATTTCCCGCTTTAAAGAATCCCACATTCTTTAGCTATTGCTGTAGCTGTTAATATATTATCTCCAGTAACCATTCTTACCATTACTCCTGAAGCATGACATTACTTTATTGAATTAGGTACATCTGGTCTTATAGGATCTTTAATACCAGCTATAGCTATTAGAACTAAATCCTTATCTAAATCATCTTCTTAAATTGATTAACTGTATTAAGTAAGTTAAGGAATTTATCCTAATGCACTAGAATTCTAAGAATGAGGATCCAAATCTCTATAAGCAATTGCAATTGTTCTTAAAGATTCTGAAGCAAATGTTTATATTACATTGTTATATATTTAATTTCTTGCATTCTAATCTAATGCTTATTCAATACCTCCAGGACCCACAACCTTTATACATTAATTTAAGACAATCTCAGAAGCACCCTTTGTATAAACTCTTATAAATCTAGTATTTGGATTATATACTGCAGTACTCATCTTCTTTCTTTTACTATTAAATGGAATTTGTCTTAAAATTTTATCACTTGGTCTATATTAAGAAAAATTATAATTAAAATTATCTGCACATTCTAATAAAGCACATTCAGTCTTATTTCCAATTTAAATCCATTTATTAGTTTCTTTATCTTTTTATGGAAATGCATTTGAATTGTAACATATACTCTCACACATTAATTCTATAGTTTTCTTATTTAACTTAGACTTTAATGTGTGTACTTAATCCTTTATTGTATTACTTTCAACATATAATGCAGTCACTTGCATAATGTTCTATGTTAATGTTCCAGTCTTATCACTACATATATTATTAGCTCCTCCCATTATTTCACAAGATGATAAATTCTTAACCAAATTCTATTCGTCCTTCATCTTTCCAACTGAATATGCTAATGCTATTGTAACTGCTAAAGGTAATCCTTCAGGAACTGCCACTACTATGATTGTTACAGATATCATAAATGATTCTACCAAAACTTATAAAGTTTTCAGACTTTAAAATTATATCTTCCCTTAATAAATATCATATCCAAGATGACCCATCAATGCAATAAATGTAAATATTGATACTATCACACCTAATTTACCTATATCTGAAGCCACACCTTCTAATTTCTATTATAATGGAGTTGGTGGATTGTCTTATATTAATAGCTTCTTTAATTGTCCTGATATTGTATTTTGTCCAACTGCTAGAACTAACATCTAGCCTGTTCCATCTAAACATTTTGTTCCAGATATTAAAAATGGACTTGTATGACCTCTTGCAGCATCTGGATTTAATTACTAATTCTTTTGCTAAACCATCTCTTAATAAGGCAACTTTTTTATCTCATCACTTTCTCCTGTCATTGCAGATTCATCCATTTTAACAGCACTTCCTTATATCATCAAACCTATAAAATTAATTTAGATTATACCATCTACAACAAAGAGATCTCCTAAATTAAACAAAAGAATGTCTCCTACAACTAAATCTTTGGTTGCAATTTCCGTTACCTTATTTCCTCTAATAACTTGACATTTTCCATCATCTAGTCTTCTTCTCAATTACCTGAATTATTTTTCTTTTAAATAATTATTTCCTGCCGTTATCGATATGATTAAAAATATGGCAAAAAAAATCGTTGCTCTATGTATATATAATATAATTAACTTACCCTTCAGTCCATCCTGTTGCCAATCCCTCATTAATTATACCAATCACAGTTGATACTAATGCTGCTAATAACAAGATTCTAAGCATAGTGTCTTCTAAACATTCCATAATCAATTCACAAAGAGTTGTCGGTTCTTTCTCAACTGGCAAATTGTCTCCAAAGGTTTGCCTATTCTTTTAGACATCTGCTTCTGTTCCAAGACCTTACTAAAGGTTTTAAGATTAATTATATACCTTTATATCCGAGTTTAATTTACGAGCTAAACCATAATCATCTCCGAATTTTTTAACTTAGTTCATACTTTGACCATCATTGATTTTATTGAGGATGAATAGATCAGTAAGTTCCTCTACACTTACAAGTGAACCCCTTTGACCCTCTATATCTTCAAAGCCTTAATATTTCATGAATAAAATTTATTATGTTTAGCAACTTAATTTAATTTTCAGTCTTAATATCAAATCTATAAAAAATTTATCATTTTCTAATTATTCATTCATTTTCTTGATTTATTAAGTACAATAGGAATTAATTTGTATTCTCTTGAAGTAAATATAATTATTTATGATTTAGATTATTGTGAAAACTTGTACGAGGGAAAACATGAAAGTTACAGTTCCATAATAAATCACAGTGGAAGATTTAAATAATCTTATAAGCACTACAAATGATGAATATACTTATATTCATAAGAACAAAATTCTTCAACCAAAATTATAGTTAATAAATTAAGATGTAAATGAGGGAGATGTAATAATCTAAACAATAAAAGAAGTATAAAAGAAGAAAAAGATAGAGATAAAAGAATTAATATTGGGAAATGCTGAAGATTATAAAAAAAAGGTGTTGGAATTGATTGAATAAGGATATAAACGAGAAGATGTAGTTTAAGCTATGATTTAAAATAGATATGATCTATACAAAGTAATGACTCAACTTATATATGGGAAAAGAAAAGTAAACTATGATTAAGAATAAGGAGAAGAAGAAGTAGATATTGAAGAAGTTAAGGATAAATTAATGAATTTGAAAGAATTAAAGCAATTAATTAAATGTATTTAAAGTGAAGAGTGGGTTGAAGAATTTTATTAATTGTAATAAGGAAAACGTGAAACATTTGATGCATTTATGTAAAATACAAAGGCATTAGTTGAGTTAATAGCAGAATTATTATCAAATTGATATCGTTTTTTTAATATATAAATGTTAATAATTGTAGCAATTTTATGTGTTAGTGTATTAGGATAGTTAGGGTATGATGGTTATACAGAATGGTAATCAGGGATTGATAGAACCATCAATAGACAAAATAAATTTGTAGAACCTGTCTATCCGTTATAAATGTTCACAAGAGTTTAATTCCCAAGATAATTCAGTAGGTTAGAATAATGAATAATAGAATAGACGACCTTAAGTTTTAATAATGCATGAAGAAATAGAATGGAATAAGAATAGAAATATAAATTATCAAACTTTTGTATCTGATGTGACTGTAAAAGGGTTCTATATAAACTATTTAATTAATGGTCCAGCAATAATTCCAGTTTTAAGAGTAAGATGGGTAGCATTTGTAGATTCTGAAGCAGAAGTGCAATATGTTAATTATCAATTTGAAGATTTGATTCGATTAAGACAAGGATTTGGAACTAGATTTTAAGATTTTATGGTTCAATATTATTTGAAATATCCAACTCCTAGAGTAGTAGCATTTATTGTAGGAGCTGAGATGGAAGTTTATGATTCTTTAACTACAACTATTTAAATTTAATTAGGTAAACCAACAGGAAGTGCAACTCCTGTTAGATTTTTGACTAGAGATAGATGTCATATTAATACTCTTAGAATAGCATATTTTATATCATCTGATTATTCTACAATAATGGGAACTTTGGGCAGTTCTGATAATTATTTTAATTAATTTTTGGACAATGAAAATAGAATGAAATTGAGAGTATAAAGATTTGAAAGAGAAGTTCCTTCCTCTTTTATTTTTGAATCACATTAAAATGTATTGGCTTAAGGTATTACAGGATTTGATGTACATAGCAGAGCTGGTAATTTTTATGTTAAAGTTGGTGGAGAATATGTTGATAAGAAATCATCTACTTATCATTGTGCATATGGAACAAGTAATCAATTATATTATCTCATATTTTAGAAGGTGATACCGTTTTGTAATATATGGAAGTCAGCTATATTTTACATCCTCCTGCTTTACCTCCATATTAAATGCTAATTGAAGAAAGTGTCATAGATGATAACCAAGATACTATTATTGAAAGTTAAGAATTGCTAAATGATTCATTAATACCATGATATATATTTTATTTTAATTAAAATAATGTAAATAGAACAACCACAGATTAAAAAGTAATATGAAAAAGCTCATGTTTCTTTATATCACAAACAAATTCCGTATTTACCATCAACTATCACTGCTCTCTCAAATAATTAGAATTAACAATTATTGCTTGTTGGCAAAGAAAATGGAGTCATTGAAATTTATTCTTATCCAACTTATACATAAATTTCACTATGCTGTTCTATCAACAGTCAAATTAGATCTCTATTTTGGATAGATGAACAATGTAAATATCTTAATTATCAACATAGATTTCATATGTGCGTATTTGAGTGGTCAAATTTCATTATTTAATATTCACGATTATAAACCTTTAAATAATTTTTAATTGCCAGATAATATAAATATTTATCAATCTATTTCAACAGCTGATTCATAATTTATATGTGCTTGTAGTGATGGTTCCATCAGAAAATTTGAGTATTAAAACAATAAACTCTATCAAATTCAATAATCATAATAATTAGATTGCTAATGCTTATCAATTGCTATCAATAAAGAATATGTTTATGCATCATTTTCTAATGGATCCATTAGACAATTAACTTATAAAACATTATTACAACAATAAACATGGCAATTAAACATTAGTAGTTCAAAAATAGCCAAAGCTAATGTAATTATTCCATGGAAACTGTGCATTTGTAATAATAATCTTTTCATTGCTTCATCCAATGGAAGTATTATAATTTATGAGACATAATTTAATACAGAAATCCAATAAATTTAAACACATATGTCAGATATTCTTACTTTGTATCCAAATCTTCATAATGTTTATGTAAGTGGAGTTGATAGCAAAGTTGTTTGTTTATCTTACAATGGATCATAATTTTAAATTACTTAATAAATAAGAGGATAATCTCATGATATATATGCATTTGAAATCATTAAAAACAATATCCTTATATCTGGTGGTTTGAATACTGATATCTGTTATTATAAATTAGATTAAAATGGTTAACTCTTATAATAAAATTAGTTTACACATATCTTCACTATTCCAAGAAGCGAATAATTCATATGTAATCATTAATACATAGCTATTAATAAATATAATTCTATTGATTTGCTATCTTATGATATCGAATCTGATCCTATATATTGGTGTGAATTCAAACTTTAAAAACCAGCTCATTTTATTAAATTAACGAAAAAGTTCGTGTGTTATGGATAAAGCGATTAAACTATTATTATGAATGAAGTAGATAAATAATTTAAAAAATTCAAAATTTATCCACATTTCAAGGATATGGAGTTTGATCATACTTTAAATACATTTTATAGTATTGATAAAGATGATAAACTCTTTAAACATAAATTTAATGGTTAATCACAATTTATAACTTAATTAATTCATGGCTAACCTAAATTAATGAAATTTGTTAATAAGAAAACTTTGATTATTACTTATCCACACTAACAAAAATTCATTTCTGTCAATGTAATTAACAATAAGGTTGATGAAATTGATTGCAGATCTAATCAAAATTATGTAACTAATATCTTAATTATAAATGGTAAATGTATTAAAATACTTGTAACTTATGCTTCTCATATTTTTGCCATTTACAATTATGATTTCTAATAATAATTGTGGTAAATGAATTCATATTCTAAAGAACATATGATGCATTCTCCTCTCAATATTACTCTTCTAAAAGATCCAATAAGAGGAGCAATCACAGATAATCAAGATAGCAAAAGAATGTTGTTATTTACAAAGTAAGAATCTTTATCAAATTATTATAGTAATCATTTTATTCGACTCCATTAAAGAGGGATTCCACCTAAAGAAGTGAAGGAATAAGAATTTAGTAAGATGCTAGAACAAGAAAAAAAGAATAATGGCTAAAAATTAGATATAGTAGATAATTATGCATTAATCTATCATAATTATGTGATTTTGAATTGCTTGCATATAAGCAACTAAAATTATATTTTATTAGAATGGGATAAATAAGCCACCTTTTCCTAAATTCAAGGAGCCTTTGATGGAAAAAAATATAAACATTGATGTAGTTTATTATATGTATATTATTATTTAAAAAGTCAAATTCAGATGTATCAGTCTTAAACGAAATACAAAAATTTTAGGGAATAATACACTGTCTAAGAAAGATAAACCAAATTTAAGGAAAAAATGAGTTAACATCCTGATATGATTCCTGTTGTTTTAGAAAAGCATCCAAAATCTAAGATCTAGCATTTAAACAAATAATTGTACTATCAATTTTAAATTATTGATATTTAGTTACTAATGGTTTTCGTATGATTCAATTTCGTGATACTTTAAAAAATACTTTATAGATTTCCCCTAAATAATCTCTTTATTTTCATATTGGAAATTAAATGTTGCCTGAAGGTATATCGAAAATAAAGATATTCTTAGATATAAAATTGGCAGATATATATGACAAAAAGAAGGATCCAGAGGATGGATTCCTATATATAACTTATTCAGATCTAGAGGTTTTTGGATTCAATTAATGATGAAATGGTATTTATTAATTGTTTTTTCATTATCAAAATCTTCATAAAGTTGTCAGTGATGCAATTATTACTACTCTTTAAAGAATCTGTTTATTTTATGGAAAAAAGTGTTCTTCATCTTTCATTCAGAAAATATTCATTAAAATAATAGAAAATCTAATTTTTTTTGTTTATAAAATTCTTTAAAATTATATCAATCCATCATTTAGATAATTGGAATGATATTTTCTACACTTTTTAATTATTTATTTATTTTTGTTTTTATTTTAAAGAAATCTTGTATTTTAATATATATAAGTGTTGTTTTTGAAGGACGAAAAGGATTTCTAGAAAAAAAATACCAGAATTTTAAAAAGAAGAATAGAATAAAATTAACCATAATAGTATTCTTTTCGTCTCTCAATTTATTAATTAGACTTCAATTGTGGTATACTATTAAGAAGCCAGTTTTTATCTTGGTGCAAAATTAACTTGAATTAATTAGATTATACTCTAGAAAAAGAAATTAGAGTATTAAAACTCTGATATTCTTTGTAAAGGATTTTACACTAAAAATATGTTTCATTTCTTTATCTTTTTATATTTTTATTATTTGCCAATAAAAAATAGACATATTTATTCATCTTTTGTGGTGAAAAGATCGAAAAAAAAACTTTAATAATAAATTGAAGATATTAAATAAAATTTTAATTATTGAGAAATTTTATTACTCAAAAATTAAAGAATGAATATTAAACTTACCTGGCTCTCAAAAATATGAAAATTTTCATAAAATTAACTCATTTTCTCAACCTCATAATTTAAAACAAGTTTTAAAAAAAAAATACATATACTATAATTTGAGATAAAGAATAAAACATATTTAAGTTCATAAATTAAATATTTTAGCAACTCATTTATAAGAATGATTAATTATTGAGGAATTGATTCAACTCATTGTGTTATATTAATCTTAATTTAACAATATAATTTTTAATATTTTTAAGAAAAATCTCGACAATCTTTAACATTGCCAAAATGATTGATAATTTAAGTTAATTTTATTTTTATCATATATTCATTCAGTAAATAAGTTTAAAATGAATCATTAAATAAAACAACAGTTAGATTATTAACTTTGCTCACACTGATTTTTTATAGTGTTGTTTGCTTATATCTAATTAAAGTTTTTTTATTCTTAATGAACATCTTCAATTAATGAATCTGTAATATCATTTGATAATAAATCAATAAATGTTCGAGCAGTATCAATTTGGTTTAAGAAAACTATTTTATGTAGTCCTCCTTTTATTATTTAATTACCAGCCCAATCCAATCTAATTTTACTTTGATTTGAACACTATTATGGATTTTTTAGAATGGATTTTTGAATAGTAGATTTAGTTTCATTTTGAAGTTTCAAGTTAAATATTTAGAGTTGAGACATTATTTTAGAAAGAAAAAATTGAATTTGATTTATTTATTTGAAATATTTTTTTATTAAATCACTTTTATAATAAGTTAGAGACAATAATTTTTTAATATAATTTATAGAGCTTACTTATTAATATAATTATCTCTTTACAATTTATTAAAGCAATAATATTTAATAAAATTAAAGAAGTAAAACAAAAGGATTATTGTTAAATAATTCAAATATAAAGTATTATGAAATGCTAAAAATTTTTGTTAATTAAAAATAAGAATGCTGCTATAAATATTTTTGATTATTTCACTTTTTTTAATTTTTTAACTTATTTGTTTCGCCCTCCAGTGTTTTAAGAAAATTGCTAGATGTTTCAATAAGTTTTTTCAAAATCGTTTCACTTTCTTTAATCATTCGATTATAATCTTAAAGAGCTAATTCTTTATCTCTCAATTGGCCTCCTTAAATTTATTATTATTATTTAAACGATGCTAATTCTTATTACATTTGAGCAACAACAGCTCTTTCTTCCTAAACATCATTTTATAATTCTTCTTTCTCTTCTTTCAATTTCTACAATTAAGATTTTAGCTATGTAATTGCAGTCCCATCCATGAATTGTAATATAATTTAATTAATTGATCTGTTAAATATTATGAGAAAATCATCAAGTACATTTCTGCTTAAATCTTCCTTTATGAGTTAAAGACAAACCATTCCTGATATTATTTAAAAAATAGGGTTGAGATTTGCTACTTAATATGAAAAATAAAGTATTCCTGACTTTAATCCATCTGATTCAAATTAACTAGAACTCGTTAGAATTAAAGAAAAATATAAATGGAAATGTGAAGAACTCGATAGAACAAAATAGTGTATAGAGTAAGAACAAAGAAATTTAGAGGAGAGAGCAAATGTAAGTCTTTGAAATATTAATAGTAATTAAAAAAGGGGGAAAAAGAGATTAGAATACTAACTAATTAGATAATAGAGAAGCTCAATCATTTATAATTATAAGAACAACAATTTAAAGAAAAAGTTAAGGTTTTTGAAGAAAAACTCAAAGTGCGAGAAGAATAATTTATTGTTGTTCAGAAATAATTAGATGAGCAATAAAATTAATTAAAAATAGAAAAAAGTAAACTAGAATTACGAGAAAAAAATCTACAAGAAAAAGAATACTTAACAGATTGGAAGTTTAAGGAAGCTGAATAATATCTTGCAAGATTGATATATTATATATAAAATACAAATTAAAAAGAAAGTAATAATTTACATTTAAATAGATTAATATCATTAGTAAATTGATCATCTCAATTTGGGTTTGGAAAAAATTATCTAAGATGAGTAATCAATAAAGAATATAGAATAAAACTTATCATAGTAGGTCATTTCAATTAAAAAGGTAGAATAAATGTTGATTGATAAAATATAAAGTTGTAAATAATAGGAATAGATTTTTGATTAAAAAGATTTAAATATTTAGATTAGTGAAGATTTAATAAATCGGAAATTAGAATGGGATTATAAATAAATTGTTTCTGCTTAAAATTCGATAAAATCATAATTTAATTTCGAAAATTCAAGAATGGAAATTTCTCATTTTGTGCATTCTACTCTATCATAAAATAATTGATTTTATTGTTAAAATAAAAATAATAAATAAAAGTCACTTAACTATCTCAAAAAGATTTTCGCATAATTTATATACATCTTCATTTTCATGTTAGGATAATTCAGCTAAGTATTATTCACCATTTTACTCTATAAATACACAAATCGATTCAATATTTTTTTACATGATCATCTCAATTATTCTTAATATTTCAATTATAATATCTGAATCATTTAAATTTTTATCCAACAAATTTATCAATTGTTTTATTGGTTAGAATAATTAAATAAATTATTTCAATTAATTTTAATTTAATCCACAAACGATCTAATAGTAAAAAGAATAATAATAAATGTTACTAAAAATCTCCATATTCATCTCCTATAATTTTTCATCAAATTTAAAAAGTTCAATTATTTTAGTATTCAGAATATTATAAATTATTTTAGGATTTTCAACAATCATATTAGTAAAAATGCTCAAAAATCTATTAATTTATTTTTACTAATATTTCTATTATTTTTCATCAATCAAAGTTAAGTTAATTTTAAGAATTAAAAAATTCAAAATGTTTTATTCGATATGTTCATACCTATCTCTGTCAAAGTATGACATTATTTTGATTAAAGATAATATTTCGTTTAGAAATTGCTCAGAATTTTGGTTATTTAGACAAAGATCATTCATAAAATTCAGATCTAATAAATTCTTATCTTTCGTACAAATTTTTTATATTAATTATAAGATTCCAGCAATAGATTCGTTGGTTGATAAATAAGGAAATAATTTCCAGCACAAATTAATCATTTAAATTTGGTTAAAATTTGACATTAAAGGTTGAGTTCTTGATATGTTGATAAGAATTTATGCAAAATCATCAATTAATTCAGTAGTATTTGAATGAATTGTTTTAAATATTGTTTATGGTATTTCATAAATTAAAATCGCATCTCTACATTAATAACAATCTGCTGCTAAGTTTGAAAAAATAAACAACACAGATTATTTTAACTCTTCATAGGGAGTCTCAATGAAAAAATTCAATAAATCAGGTATATATTTAAGTATAGGTTTGCATGTTGAATGATTAGGGAGAGTAAATGCTAGTAGTATTTGTAAGCAGGCTCTCTTATATAAATAAATTAATATACATCTAATACTGGGTATCCTTTGTTGATGATATCAAATATAATTTCAACATCAAAAGTTGTTTCATAATTTTTATCACAATCACGATCATTAAATGCATCTGCTAATTCAGATATTTTAAAAATCTTTTAAATAGTTTCATTATATTGAAAATTCTTTGGACATTATTTTTAGTAATATGCATTGAAATAAACATCTGATAAATCGTTATTCGAAATGGAAAATGGTAAATATTAGTTTTTTGAGATTCTTTTTGATTTAAACAACTCTTCCCTTTTTTATTTTCTAATATTAATTGAAAATTCTTCCCTCTTTTTTTATAAAATATTCATATATAAAGTTTAATACAAAAGAATTAATTATGTACTTAAAATTAGTTATAATAATATAAGATAATATAAATTTATCAATAAAATCAATTTTTCAGTCTAATTTTAACTAGTAGTTAAAGTTTTTTGATATTCTCTGAGACAATGATAATAAAGTCAAGCTTTTTTTTTTTTTTTCGATTTTAAATTTATTCTATAAACTAAGATTAGATAATAATACTTTGATTTATTTAATATCAATTTTTGTATTTAATTCATTGTTTTATTAAAAGTATAAAAGAATTTAATCTAAATTGCCTGAATATTATTAATAGAGATCCTAAAATATTTTAGTATTTTTTTCATTCCATTAAATCTTTTTATTTTTTTTATTTCTTCCTGCAACTTATTTTTCAATTTTAATCATTTTGACTAATGCTTATAAAGTATCACCTTAACATTATTATTGGTTTTAAGGAAAATGAAATCTTTATATTTAATCTTTTTGAGATTCTTCTCGATTGATACATTTTTTTTCAAATAATTATTAAAAATCAAATCCTTATTGTTATATGTCTAAATCTGCACTATCTTGATTGATCATTTATAAATTATATTTATAAAAAATTCTAATTAAAAAGATAGTATTTTATGAGATGTCTATTAATTAATAAGTAATAATTATCATCCCTTGAAGTTAAGATTAATAATAATGAAAATAATGCAAATGTATTTCATATATTATCACCAGCTGCAACTCTGAGTGCTAATTGTTCTCTAAGAACTCTAAGATGTTTATTGACTAAACCAATTAAGTCAGAAACTAATTGCTTATTGTTATCTCTGGCACTTCTTGCTTATTGATAATCATAAGCAGCTTCTTCACATTCAGTGTATCTTTATTGTCTAGTATCTTAGTAATAATCTAATCTTTATTAAATAGTTTCAATTGAATTTTATGCTTGTTGAATTTAGTCATTCAAACTAATTAAATATTAATATAAAAAACCTTTATAAAGTTGCTTAAGTATTTGCTAGAATAGATTAAGCAGATTATAAATCTCTATTTAATAAATGTTTATGTTTTTCATAGGCTTAAACTCTTTTATCTTCAGCAAATCTTTCTAAATTAGTACTATCATCTATTTTTGCTAATAAATCACTACATAATTGAATGATTCTAGTATTTAAAATTATTAAATTTACTTTTCTACAGATCCTTCATCAGCAGTTGATTCAGATTTATTCATGATTGTTAACAAGACTTTGAAAATACTTGCATATGCTTTAGTAAATCTATGAGTTTATCTAATTTTATTAATAGATCCACTTAAACTTGAAGTGACTTAAGCTAAAATGTTAGGAGCAATTCTAACAGAACTTTTTGAATTTTTCTTAATTTCTAAAAGTGAGGGTCTTTAAAGACCATCTTTAATAATAGCTTAAGCTTCTCTGATGATTTTAGATGCTTCAAAATGTTCAGCAATTTTAGCCTCATAAACTTCATTTTGTTCTTATCTCTCATCATCAAGTTCTTAAATTTCTTATGTGTATTCTAAAAAAAATGTGAATGAATATATTTACATTTAATTTCTGCTAATTTAGCTTTTTCAACACCTTATTATATTGATTTAGCAGGAATGAGATTACCTTCTAGTTTAGCTTCTAATTAGAGAATTGAATATTAGCTATTTGCAATATCTTTATCAAGTTAACCAATGTCTGAGTCACATTAATCTTAATATACTCTATTATTTGCATCATCTTCTTTTTAATCATCTTAATAACGTCCTTCTAGTTTTTCAAGAACATTTATCAAATGATCTAAACTATCTGATGTTTCCATTTCCAATTATAGTGTATGAATCAAATAACGACCAAATTCACTTTGTTCCAATTATGTCAGTTAGGCTATAACTTAACCTTCCTCTGAAAGAGATGCTGTACTTAATCCTAAAAGCAAGGCACAAATAAAAAGTGATTTAATCATAATAAAACGGATTATAATTAGTATTCATTAAATTCACATTTTAATAGCTCTTAAGGATCATCATATTCTGAAAAACGATGTAGTTTCATTTATTACATATTCAATTCTCTCACATCTTTTACATTCTTAAATTACATCAAATACTACAATAAAGATTTCAATTCCTACAATCTTAACATAATTAATACTTCATCTGATTTATTATCAATATATGGAATTATTGGAACCCCATTTTAAATCTAATAAAGATAAGAATGTGGTGCATTATCTATTAACAACATATCACTCAATTTCCTTGTTGTGAATATACGAAGATCTTTTATAAAATGACCATCATCTGTAGGAATACAATGTTCTCTATAAAATCTGTGACTTATCCATTTTTTTTAAGGATCCAAATAATCAATAACTGCATTAGCATAATGGGATTATGAAGCAGTAAATACAATCAACTCGAAATTTCTACTTAATGTCTATAATAAATGAGATGTGTATGGTCTGATATTCAAGGAAGCCTAATAAATATAGTATATTTCTACTTCCATCTTCTCTCCTTCATGATTAATATTAAGTAATACATCTCCAGGTATAAAACTATTCGAATTACAATGAACTAATGTTTCATCCAAATCAAATAAAAGAGTTTTTTTGTCTGTTGCTGGTAACATAATAGCCTTTTTTACTGGTGGCACTTTTAACTTTTTAGCAATTATTATACCCTTTACATATTTATTATATACTACCTGCATGTTGTGGATTAAATGCTCTTTTGCTGAATTCGGACCTTTCATTTTGAAGGCTTTTATAAGGGAAGTTATATAATATAATCTTTAAGATGGATTTTTATAATCTTATTATTATTATTATTGTTATTATTATTATTATTGTTACTATTATTAAATTTATTATTGTTGTTACTATTATTACTATTATTATTATTATTACTATTATGAATAATATTATTATTATGATTAATATTATTATTGTTATTATTATTATTGCTCTGAAGCTGTAGGATTCTTACTATTTCTTTGAGTTACAACTGAATCCAAATAAGATGTTGGTATACTACTCTGCTGTTTATAGATATTAAAATCTCCTTCCTTAGGGGTTGGAGAAGTCAAAGCTGATAAACCTCTTGTAGGTACAACAGAAGCCTTTCTAGTTAAATTAATTGAACTTTAAACTGATTGTTATTATTATTATGGTTATTATAGATGATTGTACCTTTCTTAACTGATTTATTTATTCTAAACAGGAGTCATTGACAACAGCTATGGACTTTAGGTTTTCTTACGTTATTCTAATTACTCCATCCTACATTCCATATACGTTTTAGATGATTAAAATCTTGATGCATCATTAAAGATGGCCACTTTTTCATTTGGTAATTATTTCTCTGATTTTATGACTTCTCTTTTAAAAAAAAAGTCTTATGTTGGTGTATCAGAATGAATTCTTGCAGAAGAATTCTCCTTATTATCTTTGCCTTTGACACCTAAAGGTGTTTTGCCTTTAAAATCAGCATTGGATGGTTTTCTGGCTAAGTTTAAAAATGATTTTTGCTCTATGGAGTCTGTTAAGGATATCTCTCTGTAAGAACTGTCTTTTCGTAGCATTTGAAGAAATAAAAACTCGTTAATAATTAATTATTAAATATTTAGTTTTATTTTAATATCAAAATTATTTGATTATATTATGAAATATAATATTTTTATGATTTAGATAGACATGGATAAATAAATTTTTATACCACTTAATCATTTTTTTTATTTTTTTTCTCCAGTTTAGAACATAGTTTTAACTACATTTTTTGGAATCTTTGAATCAGGTTATTATTATTGATCAGATTTTGGTTTCTCATCTGTTGACTTTTCAGTTGTTTCACCTTATTGTTAATCTTTGTTTTCTTATTTCTCATTTTTTTCTTTTTTAAATTCTACAGTCTATGCTTATTTAAACATAGAATTTTTTCCAGATTATTATAATTATGATTCTCTAAATTAATTATCTTAATCTTATTCATTTTCAGATAATTCAGCTTAATTTTATTAAGTTTAATTTTTATTATTATTTTATTTTGATATTTCAAATATTTTATTTGACAAAGGGTTTTAAAAAGAAATTTTTTAAGATTATTTTTCTCTTTTTGACTTAAGAACATTTTCTTTACTATCAATTTCACCAGCTTCACCAATATCAAATTCTAAAGATAAAAGTTCTTATTTAATAAATGTCATGCTTTAAATATTTTCTTCAAGTTAAGCTTCCAATGAACATATGTAGACCATCTTTTTAAAATCTTCCCCTTTGCTATCTGAAAATAAAATCGATCTTATTTATTCTCTTTTTTTAGTAAAAAATACTGTAAATTTATCTAATTAATCAATTGCATATCTAAAGTAGTTCAGGTATGTAAATTTCAAAGAAAATTCAATCAGTTTTCTCTTTGGATCTGTATTCAATCTTTATAAAATATCAAACTCTCCTTTATTATTTTAATCAATATATGCCTACAGTAATTCATGACAGGCAACATCAAGTGGTTTTCTTATTTCCTTTTCATCTTTTATTTCTTTTGCGCATTCTTCAGCCCAAGCCTTCATAGCTGTTAAATTTGTCTAATTTCTGATATTGTCTTTTATACAAGTATAAACCTTTATTGGTTAGAACTATTTTATAATTTGCATTAAATATTGATCAGATCCCACTTTTATAAGTTTTTCTTTAAAAGTGAACATCTAAATAGAAAGCATAATAAACTCTTTAGTAGTTAAGGATAAAGAATTCGTTTTTTAATTTGATTATTCTTCAGCTTATTTTTCTTTACTCAACAAATAACCTCTCAATGTAATAGCTAAAAACATATTCATAATAATAAATCTAACTGTGATTGTATATGGGATTATCATTACATAAAATTCTAAGGTTCTATCATCTAGACGAAAGAATTGTATATCATCTATTTTTGAAATGAAATCTAGCATTTTAACAATTGTACCAAAAAATGTAGAATATTAAATTAAATCAGTTCCTAATACCAAATGAGCCATAGATGAAAAAGCAACAATTATACCAAATAAAATTACTAAAATAAATGGCATATGAACCATGGTGTACTTTATTGAATTTGTTAAAGTCTGAAAATCTTTATTGTGTGAAATTAAGTATAATATTTCTAAACATAATACTAATATTGCACATGATCCAAAGGCTCCAATTAGCTTACTATTATCGCCAATAATTTAAACCTAACTAAAAAAGAGAGAATAATCCACATCCTATTTTACACTGAATAAAGTTGAAGGTAATAAGTCATTAATAGAAGTTCCAAATATTTCACATCCTTGGATTAAAGCATTAACTTAAAAGAAATAATATAAAATTAATGTAATTTAAGCTCCAAGAAGAGTCAAAAATAACAAATTTAGTAATTAAGATATATCCATTAAAAAAAGTGATTTTCTTATGAATTCAGGCATATGTCTCTCTCTCATATATAATTGCGATCTACTTAATGATAGCAATATATAAGTACTATACCATCTATCATAAGAAAAATTTTTATGAAGCATTGTTTTAATTGTCACATATAAATAATAACATAGGGCAATAATCAAGGAGACTGATAAGATTAAAATACTGATTTCAGTAACAGATTATAAGGAATTCTTTTTAATTCCTTGAACATCAATTTATTTGGAGGACAAAGTCCCACATTAATTGATAGTAAATAATAATTTAATATGTGCTAATCCTCTGGCATTTATAGGATTAAATGTAATAAACTATATTGCTATAGAACTAACACTATCAATTAACCTGACTTTCTATAAAGATTCTATAATAGGACTTAATTATTTAGGTTCTAATAACATAACTAATCCTCCATTACCTTCAAATCCATTAGTATCATCATAATCAATAGTGAAATTAGTTTCAGCATCATAAAAGCCTTCATAATTTTCATTATCTGAACCTAAATTATCTGTTGGAGAATCTAAAAATAACAGCATAGTTTCAGGAGCAAACGTAGAAAATTATTCCATTGTATTATTTACTACTAAGGATCTTCTAATAGTTACTCTAATTACATCATTAACAACAATATTAAAAGTATTTAATGAACTAGTTCTAATTAAATTATCAAAAGCATATTCTTATAATTGATAATTAAGGATCCTATCATTAGAAGATTACTCAACTTTTATAGTTGGATTCTACCCTTTTAAAATAGCTAATTCATTATTTCCAAATAGATTATCTTCAAAAAGATCAGGAAATCCAAAAATAAGCCAATCTGTCATATCTTAAATAGTATTTAAATCCTTAAATTATTTTATAGCATCTGATCTATCATATTTAATTTTTCTAGAAATTGAATCACTTTAAAGATAAGCCTCCGCAGGATTATAAAATTCTTGTAAGAGAATAAAATTCAAAGATAAAATTATTAACAAGAGTACTGTTTTCCAAATCAGTTTGATAAGTTCCATTTTTTATTTACTTAAAATTCTCTCTTTTTCTTCTTCTATTAAAAATTTTTAATTTTTATCATCATCGACTGATTGATTAATTAAATTAGCAAAATCAACATTAAAATCAATGGTTTATGGATTTTCTTTAAATTCTCTCTCATTTATAACATATTACAATTCTTTATTTTCATTAAATTCATCAAATTTAGAAGGTTGTAATTTTAAAGTGAACCAAAATCTCATAACAAAATATTCAACAATATTATAGAAATACCAGTAAGGATGTATATATTTTACAACTTCATTATGTTTATTGGAATTATTAGTTTTTTATGATTGTTTTTCTATTTTCATTTAATATTCATTATATTCTTATTTGACAAAAACAAAAAACATATTGCATAAAATGATAATTACTATAACATAATATAAGATGGTCATAATAAATGTAATAACTGCATCATATTTAAATAATTCATTAAATTAATCATTTTAAGCAATCATAAACCCTAAAATATAAGATAGAGATCGTCCAATAGATGAAGTGATAAAAATCTAACTTCCATATTGAAAGTAAAAAAATAAAGAAAATGATATAAGGATTGCTGCCAATAATACTAAATAAAATATCATATATTCAATAACATTTAGAATGATTTCTAAATAGCTAACAAGTCGTTTGAAGATATTAATAAAGTATTTTAATAATTTAATCCACATGATTAATAAAGCAACAGCACAAAATCTTCTATAAAATCTCAAGATATCCGCTTATTAAGCAAATTCATCATTTAGTGTATATGAAACTTGAGTTTAATTAAGCATCTATCTATAAATTGGTTCAAAAACAGATTAGTAAGTAGTTGCATTCTATAAAAGTTAATTTAAAGATTCAGAATATGGTTAAGAGGAAATGGCTTTAATATATTCAGAGGCAGCAATTCCAAGAAGTACTAAAATGAGAACATCGATGGCACTCCAAATATCAGAAATATGTTAGATAACTACATTTATAATAATTTTAGTTTTTCTTTAAGCTTCTTCTAAATTTTCTTTAGCCGAAGATTCTGATTTTTCCCCTTGAACTCCTAATTATTAAACTTTGCCTTCTTCTCCTTAGAAAATGACTCCTCTTTTTTTCCCATCTTTTCTTGATTTTAAACGACTATCTTTCTATTTTTATGCCTTAACTTTTAATTCATCATCTTTTAAAGCTAATTAAATTTTAAAATAGATTTTGTAGCCTTCCATGTACAAATAGTTAATATAAATGATAGCAAATAAAATTTCAAAAGCCATTCTAATATAATCAGTTTAATTTAAATAAAAACTCAATCTAAAAGAATCATATTGAATAAATTAATATGATTATCCAGCTGCACTAAACTCCATATTAATTCTAACAACACACTAATTATAAGATATAATGCTTACAATCATCTATAGATTAGGACTATAATATGAAGCTTGTGCTTTTAGTAAATGAGTGTTAGATGTCAAATAACCAGCATCTATTAATTTTAAGGTATCTAAAGTAATTCCACTAACATCATCAATAAAACTGATATTTTTGAATACTGGATAAGGTGGGAATCGTTATATAAATGGATATACATATTGTTATTAAAATCCTTAGTTACTTTTATCTTCTAATAAATCTTTATCCCAAACATTAACTAAACTATCAATTTTAGCATATTAAGTTTAAATTTCCAAAAATGTAACAGGTATTAACCTACTATACATTTCAGTAGAATTTTAATTCAATGAATATCCATGATATAACTATTTATCTATCCAATTTAACATTGAGAACCGTGTTTAATTATTAAATTTAAACACATTTTGAATTCCTGAAAACATTGAATTTTAAACAGATGTATTCATTATACCTTATTCTTCCATTTACATTTACATTAAAACCGAAACCATTAATGATACTAAATAAATTGTAAATCTTGCCATTTCAACTTTTGTTATTATCACATTATTTGTTGATGGAGGTGTACTCATTTAATTTAATAATAAATATAATTTCAAAATGTTTATTAAATACTATTGCTACTATTATTATCATCCATCCTTTAAATTCTTTTTCCATTCTTCTAAATTCCTACTTCACTTAACATTATTTATTTTAATATGTTCCTTCTCCTTCCTATTATCCATTTATTCATGGACCTACATATTATTTACCATTCCATACAAATTTTTCATCTCCATTTTATTTTCCGTTATCAAAATTCCCTTCATAATATTTTCCATCATCCCATTTCATTATTCCAAATCCATCGCATTTAACCCTTTTTCCATTCTCTTCTATAACATTTTTAATTTCTTGATGTAAAAGTTCCTTTTCTATATTACTATTTTCATTTCATACCTTTACCTAGCATAATTCCATTCTAAAACTTTCCCTCATAAAATTATTCATCATTTATTTGTAAACTTTCCTGATCCTTATTTCATTCCTCTTACAAATTCTCCTTCAAAGCATTCATCTAACAAAATTAATTTATCTAAGAACTTTTTGAATTTATCTCCTTTCCTATACCATGTTATTTGTCTTCCAACCATTATCATTCATAGTATAATCTATCATGGCTATAACTTTTCTAAAATGCTTGCCTCATCTTCTAACCATTCTCCTTCATATACATTCCCTTCTGAATTTACTAATATTCCCTTTCCATCTGCCATATCATTTATAAAATTTCCTCATAATAAGAACCTAAATCATTCGGTTTATACCATCTGGCCATATTTATCTCCCCTTTCCATTCCGAATTCCATTAACTATGTCTCCTTCATATATTTCACATGTTTCCATATGAAAATACCTTTTCTCCTATTCAATTTCTGCACTTATTATTGTATCTTCTTATAATCCTTATTTTATTGTCTCAGTAACTATTGCAGTTTGATTTACTATATTTTTTGCTTACTATTCACATACCCCATAACAAATACCCATATTTTATTAATAATATTAAAATGCCTCATCTACTAGAAATTATATTATTCCAAAATTGTGACTAATTTAAACTTGCTCTACCTAAAATCCAAGAAATTCTAAACTCTAACAGAATCGTTACAATTTCATGGGAAAAGACAAAAGAAGATTTTTATAGAGAAACTTATCTTGAAAACTAACAAATCTAAAATTAAAATCAATATCAAATTTTAGAAAATTTAACCTATTAAGTTTCTGAGCAAAATGCTCTCTTTGCAGAAATGTATCAAATAATATATTTCAAAGTTTAATAACCCTCTTATAATATGATGTAGAATAAAAATAATATCCAAAATTTTTATTTAATTTCAAAAAACTAAGCAACTCATCAGTATCGATCAATTTTAGAACCTAAATAAATGAATTGCTAAAAAAGATTAAGAAGTAACTAAATTAGATTGTAGATTTTAAAGAAAAATTACAATTAATTTAGTTTCTTTATTAGGAAAATCACTTTCAAAAGGAAGAATTAAAATAACTCTATGTATTTCACATATTCTCTATTATAGCATTAAATTAAGTCTTCTTCCAAAGAAAATAAAAATAGTACTATATGGCTTTTAGAATAAATTGTATATTATGAAAAGAACAATTTTCAATTAATCAATGAGATTTATGAATATTATGTAGAAGAATAAAAATAAGAAGAAGCCTAAAAGTATTGTTCAATGATTATCAATTAACCTTTAGTAGGCTTAGAATACGAAGAGATTGAGTTTCAGTATAAACAAAAAAAGGCTGAAAATGATAAAATACTATCCGAAATTTAAGAATTAGAATAATATTTAAATACAAATTAATCAAATCAAGATACCGAATAATTATAAAAATTAATAAATTTAAAGGAGAGGATAGGTTTTCCAATTTCAGATTTGGTATCTTATTATTTAAAATTGACATAAATTTATAACTTAAAAAAAGATTTTGGTTAAGCAATAAAAATTACTTTAGAATGTTTGGAGAAGATCAAATTAGAATTACTTCTTAATTATCACCCAAAGATTATTTTATATCAATCAACCTATCTTGAACTTTTGGGAGATTATTATCGATAAAATAAATAATCAGAATTGGCTATTAATGCTTATTAGGATTCAATCTAATTAAAAAAAGAAATTAAGTAAAAAATAGATCCAAAAAAATTAATTCATTTAAAATAATAAATAGCTACATTATATTATAAATAAAAAAAATATGATTAGGCATTGGAACTTTATATTTTTGTTTTAAAGATGTAAGAAGAATAACTAGAAGAGTAATATATAACGGGATAAACTTAATATAATATTGCTTAACTTTATTATAATTTAAATTAAAGATAACAAGCTTAGGAATATTGTGAATAAGCTATTAACAACATGGCTTAAAAATTATAAGAGAAAGATCTTTTGATGATAAAAGCCAAAGCATTAAAAGAAAAAATAATTTAAATTAAAAATAGTAAAATGTTGTTTGAATCTAATTCTTGATTTTAATATTATTGTATAAATATCAAATAAAGTTATATTAAATAATAAGAGTAGCAAGTTTTTATTTATTACTTTTTCAAGCTCAAGTGTAATCTTATTCATAAATTATATTAATTAAGATTAAATGGCTTCATTTACTAAATAAATTTCTTATTTCGTATAAGGCTAATTAATTTTTGAATAATTTATTTGGAATATACCACTCATTCTATTATGTGGTTTAGGAGTAATCAATGAAATGTAAACTATTACTTATATTACAATATAAAACAAAGAATAGATTTTCAGTGGTTAATCTGAAATGAATATTTTAACATCAATATCAAGGCCTAATATTTATTTAGCAACTACTGTCAGTCAATCATATTTGATATTTTGCTCTCTATGTATTTTGATCATAAGTTGTATTGTCTTCTCTAATATAGTAAAAAATAGGTCAACAGATATTGTTATTAAATTATAATTAACAATAAGTAAAAGTTAGAGCATGAAAATTTTGATGTAATTCATTAATATTTCAATTAACTTAATAAAATATGGTTTTGGATATATGGCAATAGAAATATGTTTAAAAAATCTAAAGGCTAATCTAGACGATATATTTTAGATTTTAATAAATTTAATTAATATACTTGTGATTCTAATCACGCTTTTATTTTTTACAAACATGTTCACCTATAACTGGGCATTAGATTTTAAAAGAGAACATTTATTAATTAATGATTCTTATCTTACATATTATAGAATTTTTATTAGATGCTTTTAAATAGTAATCCTAATATAAGATTAATCCAATTTATTTTTTCAATACGTTTAGATATTTTTACCAATAATATCATCCTTTTTATTGATATATTAAATCTAAATATAGAAACAATTAATATACGGACCTTATTATTAAGTAATCTTGATTATAGCTGTAATCACATTGATTATAAGTTTTTAGTTTTTATTTCATCAATTCTATCCTTAGCAAAAAATTCGATCATTATGGATTTTGCTATCAATATTGCCTTACTAGATTTTTTAATATTATGCAAGAAGAGATTTAATTTAAAATTTCATTAATTTTTTAGAATGTAACATATAAAATTCAAATTATGTGATGTTTTAAATAATTTATAATGTAAGCTTAAACAAACGTATCTTTTAATCTGACATGGTATATCTATTATTTTTATAAAAACATTCTACAATATGCTAAGATAGTAAATGTAGATGTAAATATAGATTATAAGAAGTAGAGTTTTAAACATTGTCTCATGAAATTTTCTTTAAGGAACTTTTACAAAAGCATCAAAGACAATTATTATAAATAACTAAAAGAAACATTTCTGAACCATTGATATTCAGTTATCTTTAATTACTTTTTTTTCACAAGAAATATCTTCTCAATTATAAACTTTTCAAAATCATTTTTAATAAAAATAAAAAATATAAGTAGTATTCTGCTTTAGATTCATCAATAAATCGTTCTACTATTCAAATTAATTCATTTCACAAGTTACTGGTATTAAAAGTTGCTTAAGACCTTTAAAGACTTGATATTTAAAAATAACTCTAAAATTAAAGATCTTCCTTAAAAATTGAATCTTAATAAATCCACCTTAGTATATTTGAATATTTAAAAATTACAAAATAAAATGCTTTTATTTAAGAGAAATTATCCAAAATCATTGAAACTAAAATTAAGTACTTTGAATCTTTATATCAATAAAATAATTAAGAAAATTTAGAATAGTTAGCTTTAAATTCAATATCAGTATAAATTGAAGGATTAAAAATTATCAAAGCTTCATTTTAGCAAATCTAAAGTAAAAATTTTTCTTAATTAAAGCTTAAAGATATTCAAATATTCTAAGATTTTACAATATGGAAGTATTAAATGATTTAATTTCAGCTCAGTCTATTATTTAACCATAAATAATAAAGGAAGAATATAAAATTAAATCTATACTTTCAAATTTAAAAAATCAATTTTCAAATATGTCTGTTTTAATTTAAGATTTAGATAACATACAGATCACCAAACATAAATATCATTAATCAATATATCCAAATAAATTAATTTAATTAAGCTTTGATCAAATGATACCACACTATATAAAATAAATTCATAAGAAATTAATAGAAAATTTTATCTCTGGAAACTAAAACAAATATTATTAATAGATTAATTAAGCTTACATTGAGCACCAATCATGTTTGTGTATAAAGATAGATTTGATTATGGATATAAGCCTATTAAATTTAGAATCTATTGAAATAATTATATTTTTCTAAAAAAAACATGAAGAAGCTTATAGTCTATTTTTAGATGAAAACCATAAAATTATTAATATTGAAGAAGAACTTTTTTGTTAAATATTGAATATTGATAAGATTTTCGCAAATTAATTATATGGATTGAATATCAATTTATTTCTTGATAATTTCTCTTCACTAAAATAGAATGAAAAACATTTCTCTTTTTTTTTCCGTTTTTTTGATTAAAGAAAGCTGAACTTGTTGACTTAAAGAAAATTTGATTACTCAATATTTACATAAAAAGATATGATACTTTATTAATGTGATCTTGAAGTAATATCTAGATAAATTACAGATGAGTAAATTTTTTATTAAATTATTTTATCAAACATTAAACAAATCAATGGGGAAGCAACAATTTAAAATTTATAAAAATAAAATAATCATCCTTTAATAAATGAATCAATAATAATAGACAAACCAGAAGATTTTAATGAAAAATTTAATATTAATGTTATAAATGCTTAAAACAATAATGAATATTAAATCCTATAAGATGAATAAGTTATTTGTAACTATTAATAAGATGAAATCTTGTTTACTCCTAAAATTGGAGATGAAAATTAAATTTTAAGTTAAGGAATAGAAGATAAAACAGTTAAATAATCAAGTGATATAGAATAACACACAGAATCTGTTTCATTACAATCCTCATTGTCAGCAATCGAAAAATCAAAATTTTATAAGTAGTTTTTATTAGTTTAAAGTTTAACTACTTGCAGAAAACTACCAAATGTATTTTTAAGAAAAAGTCTTTTGATATTGTTATTCTTAATAATATCAATTATTGGATTATTTTTGGTAAATCTTTGTCTTATTGCTAGTATTTTTTAACCATTTCCAATTTTGATCTTCTTTTCAATGATTTCAAATTACTGAGTTTTAAAAACAATGTTTTTTAACCAATATCATCTTTTACTCTAATAAGATTTTCAATTATTAATTATAACATAGAATTATATTACAATTTAATATCAGAATAATAATTTTAAGAATTGTTAGATTATCCTAATTCCAAAATTATAGAAAGTTATGAAAAACTAAAATCAGAAATCACAAAATTTTTGGAATAAAAATTATTTTTTTCACACTATTCTTAATAATCATTTTAGTTATAATTCTTAGAACATGAAAGTTAGGGTAGTGCATAAGAATTTAATTTAAGAAATAGTCTAATAATTTTACTAAATTATTAATATGATTCTTAAATTGTATATAGTAATGGATAAACAGCTGATTAAAAAAGCCCATATTTTTATTATTCATATAAAAACTTTAACACTCTATTAAATGCCTTTTAATATGTTGACAATTAAGCCTTATATCAAGTGATTAAAACTTCTTTATATTACGAAACCCAATTATAAGATATAAAGATATATAGTATACTGATAATGAGTATTATTTAATTATTGATCTCAATGATGCATTATTTATAGTGTTTACAAAGAGAAAAATTAAGATAATTATTATTTAATTAAGAAAATACTCATATAGCATCAGAAATTTAAAGACTTTAGAATCTTAAAGATTTAGTGATTAAAAATTATACTTAAATTTTGAATTATAAATTTAATTTTTAAGAAAAAGATAACCATTTTACAAATATTAAATTATTAATATCTCATTTTAATTAGAATAAAAATAGAAAAAAGTTAATAATTACAATAGAATTTTTAAATTTAAAAACATTTTTACTAATTATTTCTCATTTCTTAATCTTAATTGCTATATATTTAGGATTAGAAATTGAAATGTCTAATAAATATGTTTAGATTAGGAATGCAGCTTAATTTTATGAATAGCTTACGAGATTAAATGTAAATATTTTAGTTATGTATGCATCGAGAGAAGTCTTATATTTTAGATAAAGTTTCACCTTTCTAAATCAAAATGATATAGATAAATATTATCAAAATTGTAAATAAGGTATAATTTAATTGGAAGATCAAATTACTCATTAATAGATATTTTAATATAATTCTCATTATATTGATGATAGTTTTAATTAACTTATCAATAAATTTAGCTAATAGAATCTTTGCGATTAGTTAGAGGTATTTTTTGTAATAATGTAGGCAATTGACAAAACTTTAACAGTATGTAATAAAGCATTATCTGGTAGTTTAGAAAAGGGGTTAATATCTACAATTGTAGATATCAAAAATTCATTTAAATAAGAATTTGAATAATCAAATTTCACTAATCGCAATACTTTTCCAATTTATGAATTAGAGGGGATTACTATTGTTAGCTATGCATTATAATATCTAATAGAGAACTTTTATTCAATCTTGTATGAGAAATGTTTAGAATTATAATTTTAATATAGTGTAAAATTTATAAAAATAACAAATAGATTATAATAATACTATGCTTGGTATCTAGTATTATCTATGGATTAATATTATTAAATTTTACATAAAAAATCGATAACAAAAAATATGAGTTAATGATGAAATTTATTTATTTAGTACCTTTAGGATCAATTGTAAATGATGATAATTTTTTAAGAAAAACAAGAAGCTTTTTTGTAAATTAATAATTAATTTGATATTAATGCCTTATAATGAATAATACATATAATCATTTTTTTAACTTTTATGCTCTTCTCTTTTCTCTAAGTTATTTTAATCTATCAATTTCATCATGAATATCTATTTTTTCACCTAATTTATTAAGTTCTTCAAGAATCATTATTTTCATTTGTTCAAAACTTATAGTGTCATCATTTTCAAATGAAAAATCAGCATGTCCTTAATATGATGATTCTTCTGTTTTTTCCCTAATTTCTGTAAAATAAGGATGATTTAAGGCCTGATTAAAGGATTTATGATACTTCTTAAGCAGTGATTCTTTTATGAGGATTAATCACAAGCATTTTATCTAATAAATCAATAGCTAAAGGATTTGAATAATCAATTTATTTTTTAATTGATTATGGTGGAACACTTGGTAAAGATTAGACAAACTCCATAGCATTTTTATTCTTAATAAATTAATCCAAATCTTCTTAGATTGGTTTACCAAGTATTTCAAAGATCACTTTAACCATTTATACATAAGTTTTGCCTTTAAAGAGAACCTGATAGTATTTATATTTATAAATTACCTTTCCTTCATTTAACATTTCAGCAAAAGTACAACCTAATGACCATATGTCTATTGGAAATGAATATTATTGAGAAGAGACCATGATTTCTGGTGCTCTATAATATCCTATAAAAATAAAAGTATGTTTATACTTGTAACAACATATTCTGTAAAATTTTATGCTTTTTTATTATCTTCTTCTTCATATTCTTCTATTTATCTTGATAGACCAAAATCACATAAACTTATTGAACAATCATCTTTTGCTAATATATTTGATGGTTTAATATCTCTATGTATAATAGAAGCTGAATGTAAATATGCCACTGCTTTAGTTAATTAATACCTATCTTAAGATGCATAATAATACATTATAAATTGTATATGATCATCTGTTAAATCTTTTGGGTTTTTAAGAACTCTGTGAAGATCAGCCTAATAATATTCTTATACTAAATAGACTGTGCCAAAATAGTCACTCTCTTATGATGAGTTATCATATATAGCAGCTTTAATAGCTACAATATTAGGATGATTCAATGCTCTTAATATTCTTATTTCTCTTAACATTCTTTTGGCATCTATTATATCCTCCAATGGATTTAATTTTTTTATTGCAACTTTAGTATTTGTATAGATATCCAAAGCTAACAAAACTGTTCCATATGATCCTGCACCCAATAATTTAATTCCTTAATAACGATTATAAATAGTGAAGGGGATATCATTGTACGTTTTGGTAACAAATTACTAATTCTATGAATTTTATGAATTTTGTTTCATTATCTATTGATTAATTTATTTTATTCAACTTAAATACATTTATAAACTAATCTATACTAATGTATCACTATCAAAATCTCATTATGTAGAATTTATTATATATATTAAATGTGTAAAGACAAATTTATCTATTAATTTATATAAATTATATATACATTTTTTTGTTTCTGGAACAAAACTAACTAAAAATATGATCTATAATACTTAATATATAACTAGTTTTAGTTAAATTTGATTATGTAATCAATTATTATTTAAAGTATTTTATATAATAAATTAACAGTTGATGAGCGAATCAAGTTTAGTTTCATATTCTGATAGAGAAATAGAGACTTCTTTAAAGGATTTATTGGAGAGAATTTTAGTTTAGTTAGAAAAATATATTGAAACCAAAAATGATCTAAATGAGATTGAAAAGGAATTAAAAGATTATGACAATTTACAATAATTAGTCAATATAATTAAAGTTGTTTTCACTAATCTTATCTTAAAAATAGATAAAAAAGTTTAGTAAACATTTCTATCATTTAAGAAAGTTAGAATAAAATGTAGATCCAAATGTATCATTAAAAAGTAATAGAGGTGAAGATGAATATGAAAAATTAGAATAAACAGTTATTAAATATGAAGGAGAAATCAGAAATCATATAAGAGTAAATATATAGTTTTAATTCTTAATAGTTAGAATAACAATTGAAATTGTATGCAGAATCAATATAAAATAAATTGGATGAAAGTGAAGCTACACGAAATGAGCTCTTAGAAACAACCAAGAAAGTTATGAATGTAAAACATGCTTCAATATTGTCGTTTAGAATTTAAAGAAGGAAAACCAAAAATTTTATGAGGAAAACACAAAATTAATAGCTGATATCACTTTTTACAAACAAAAAATTTAATAATATGAAAATGAATAAATCAAAAAGACTAATGAATATGATTAAGTAGATTATGAAATTTAGTTTAACAATAAGAATAACTAATAAAATAAAGGACTTGTATAGAGAAAGCCTAATAGTAAAGAAGCAAATAAAACTAGTTCCTATTCAGAACATAAATTAAGTAGTTAACTTTAAGAAAGTACTGATTATCCAACATTATCCTAAGGTTCTTTGAAATAAAATTATTTTCACATTCTTTAATATGGATAAAATCAATAGTAATAATAATTGCAATAATAAATTTAATAATAATAATAAGAATATTAAAAATCATTTCATGGTAAACATAATTCAATTAATTCAATAAATGACACTGTTTAGCAATTAATTATTAAAGATAGAAAAGGAAACTTATTGAGTTATAATGCTTCTAAGAAGAATTCTTAACATTCTTAAGTCCAACAAAAAACAATTTAATGTAACTATTAATATATTATTTAAGAGACCTTATAAACTTAGCCAAGAAGTAGAAGTGGAAGTGCACGTCGTAATTTAAATTAAAAGTAGAAAACATCTACTTACTAATGAAATTCATTATTTTAAATCAATTTTTGGTATAAAATATTTATATAAACTAAAATTATTAAATATTAGTTATATTTTTTAAAATGTTAAGAAGATTTCTGATAGATATTATTTTTCTAAGAATAAAGTATGAATGTGTAGTAAAATTAAAAATAGTTATATTAACTTATGGAAATATTTAATAAAATAATATATATAATTATTTTTAATTATTTATCTGTTAATTGGAATATTGAGAAAATGTTTTAATACACTTAGGTATAATAAAGATTTTACTTAGAGAATAATTTAACCAACAATAAGAATACCTGTATAGACTTAATAATAGTCTATCTTAATACCATTAGAAAAGTCGAGTTAATTACAATCCACTAGAAGAGTTTCATAAAACATGGATTAGCAAATTTCAAATGTTTCTCCAATAAGATAAATCATGAATAAAGTTCCAGTAAGTCCAAATGTCATAAAATATTCTTAATAACCCTAAAATACATCAATGACGCCATAAAAAATTCCCTATAATTAACGTTAAAATTAGACTCCTACTAAGCATCTAAATTAATAATCAAGAACTCTTACTCCAAATGTATTATCATAACAGAGATAGAGCATTACAAATAAATAATATATTTAATCTAATAGAGTTCATACTGATGCTGGTTTCTCTACTCCTTTACATAATCAAAGAGAGAAAGAGAATTAAGAGTATTCAAATGATAATCTAGCTGCATAATATTAAAATTTATAAGAGTAATTGATACAGTCAGAATTTAAAATTAGTTAGCTTGAACAAAAAAGTAGATAATTGTAAGAATAAAGAAAGAAATTATAATAATAGTTTTTATAGAAGTCTCCTAAGCTAGCTTCGCATTTATGATTACTAAATATAAATTATAATAAATAAATTAAAAATGAGACAATCTGTGTCTTTTAAGGAAACAACTTAATTGTAATTGTAAATCAGCACCTTATAATAAGAAATATAGATTTTAACTTAAGAAAATCAAAGTCTTAAATAATAGTTGGTAACTTTGTAAAAATAAATAACTATTATAAAATAATCAGAAGATGGATTACAATAGAAAGTGATAGAATATGAAAAATTATTATAAGAGTAGACTATGTAAACTTAAAAATTTCAATAACTTCTTATATAGGTATAAAAAACGCCAAATTAATAATAATAATTGATTTTATAGTTAGTTGAGGAAAAAGATAAATTATTAGATGAGTTTAAGGAGAAAAATTGGATTTATAAAAAGACAATTAATAGTTATGAATCAATGATGGGATAAGTGAAGATCTTATATTCAGAGAAGAAAGAAAAAAGACCAGTTATTTTAGGATTAATGGAGGGATTAATGTCATAATAATATTAAATAAAGAATTGGAAATAGAATCCAAAGATTAAGTATGAAATTTAAGAGTTTGAAATAATGGAAATTAAAATTGGAAAACATATGAATAAAATTTTGGATAAGAAATTATTTTTCTTAGCACATGAAGGATTATAAATTGATAGTATTGGGAAAATAATAGGATAGATTTCACTTGAGCCAAATGTGGAAGGCGATTTACAAGTAGGATATATAATAGAAATATAAAATGCTGATGATGAATCTTTGAAATCTAAATTTTTATTAAGAAGAGAATTAAAATAAGGAAAATTAAGTTAAGGATATTTAAAGAAAACAGAGGCTGTATAATAATCATTAAATAATATGATTTGTTAAGCATTATTTGAGAGATTTACAAAAAGATAAGAAAGTTAAGGATATGAAGAGTTTAACATATTTCGTATCTAAAGATAATTTGTTTTGAAATCTTTAAGTAATTTTGTAATTAATAATTAGAAACTAATTATTTTTATTATTGTGAAATGATAGAAGAAGGAGAATTCTAAAAGTTTAATGGAGGAAATATGGAACCAATTATAAATTTAGATTTGGAAGATTTTATAAATTTTTTCATTTTTGATTCATTTTAAGATATAAATGAGGAATTAGTAGTAAGTCATTTGTAAAGAGTGGGCTATTATTTTCATGATATGATAGTATCAACATTAATAGGAGTGTTCTCTTAATATGACTAAGGTAAGTAGGAGGTAATGTAAACAATAAAAAATTTAGAAAAAGCTTTAGGATTTGCATCAATGACTCTTCATTGATATAAAATAATTATATTAGAATATATTCATAAACCCATCATTACAACCTTCTTACTCGCACCTTTAGCAATTTGAGAAAGTGTTTCTAACATTCTGATTTACATAGCAGCTTAACTTGATAAAATATCCGATGTTTCTCTTTAGAACTTAGCAGCATCTACATCAGCTTATGCAGATATTATTTTAGCCTCTGTCATTTTTTTAGTTGTTCCTGCCAATGCCAATGCTTATCTTAAATCATCACTTATTCTCTAATCTTTTATAAACAATTTCTCTACATATACTCCTTATTATTTTATATAATTTATTTACCCCATTCATTTACTATTGCTTCTACTAATTCGGCAATCTCATTAGATATTTAAATACGATCTACTAATAATTCTTATAATGTATGTTCTCCACATACTGTACGCATCACTGATTAAGTTACTTCAAGCATTGCTCCTTCTAAATTATTCAATCTATATATGCATTTTATTGGATCCACTATTCTATAATATAACACTGTATCAATTTCAGATGTTATGTTATCTTTTGTTAATATTACTGATCTATTCACTTATCCAGAACTTAAATTTATATTAAATTTACTGTGTTTTCATATCCACCATTATTATTTAACCTGAACATCTATTTTTATTTATTTAAGTTACTAATTCACAAAATGCATACCAGGTGCCAATTGCTTTTCAAAACGTCCAAACTCTTACAATAATCCAACATTTCCTTAATTTACTAATTAATAAGGATATGGACAACAACAACAAGGTATCCAAGCTCTACAAGTTCCACAACAATTTCCACAACAATTTAAACAATTTTCATATGTTGTTTTTTTAGATCTACCTGTTGTAAGCTAATCTCTTAAATTACTAAATTTATTACTATTTTCCACTTCCAAAAGTTCTTGATCGTGGCAGAGATTTTTCTGCTTGCATTTTTTTTATGATGATTTTATAATTAATTATACATTCTATAATTAACATATATATTAATACTTTTTATTCAATATATTTAATCATTACTCTATACTAACATGAAACAATTTATTTATTATTAATTATTCTTAAATTATATACTATTTACTTCAAGCTCCTAATTAATTCAATATTTATTGAACCAAACAACTATTATGAAGATGTCTAAAGAAAATTATACGAAATTATTTTATATTAATTAAATCATTTTTATAGAATATTAACTTAATTAAAACCAATATTCATAATTCATAAAATCTAAAGAACATTATATTTCTTAATTAAACAGAAAATTGAATTATAATCTAAATTTTTTCAATAAAAACAGACTCTACTATCTCACTTTTATTTATATAAATAGGAATTTTAAACTAAATATATTTTTATATTAACTATTGCTATACTTAAATATTTAAATTCAGAATATGGATTAAATTTAAAGTTTTCTTTATTTTTAATTTAACATTATTAGTTAAAACAATTATTAAAATAGCATTATCTAATTTTTAAATCTGCTTTTCATTCAAATCTAAATAAAAGATACTTCAAAAATAATTATTAATTTAGATTTTTTAGATGATAATAATTAATAAAAGGATATTTTACATTTATAACTTTGAATTTAAGAATTTTTATCCACAACTATTTGGAATTGATAAATCTGGTTAAAAAATAATATCAATTTATTCTAAAAAGAAATTTTAAAATAAATTCGACATAACAATTTGAATTTTTAATTGTTTATCATCTTCGAGGACAATATGAATTTAAATTAAAAAGTCTTCTGTATTTAAACTTTGATTTAAAATTCATTAGGATACCTCTTTTTATCTAAAAAAACTGAAATAGATTATTTGCTTGATTAAGATTTCTAAACAAAAATTTAAATGAGTTTCATTCTAATTTAAATTAAACGACAAATTATGATATAAATTCAAAGTTTTATTTCATTAATTGTAAACGATTTATCTAAATTTCTCTAATTTGACACAATACAAATGAAACATAATATAATTAATCGCAGTAGTTATCTTGTTCATTATTCTTGATTGTGTATTATATTAATATAATAGTTTTTTCAGGTTTAAAATTGTATAAAACTTAGAAATTATCATAAGTCCATTATGTTTCTTGAGTTATTAATTAGTTTTGCTCTATTTCTTCTCTAAATTTATTATTAATAAAAATACTATGGTATTTTAGAAGGATCATCAGATATTATTAGATCTACAGTATTTTTCTTATTTTAAGAAATATATTGTCTAATAACTCCATATCCATTGTAATCTTATCCAAAATATGATCGAAAAGTAGTGTTATTAGCTTTTATAATTTATTCAATATTTTAAATAGCATTTTAAAACAAAAAAGTGTTGAATAAAGGAAAATCATATAAAGTATGGCAAGCTAAAATAACAACAATCAATAATCTGTCTTGAGCTTCCTAAAGGATATCATATAATTTAATATTATCCCCAAAATGGAACAGATCTTTATTAAAATAATAAACAATTGGATAATTGTTATGATAAACCTAAAAAATAGTTGATGCAGGATGTATTATCAAATAAGGCATCACAAAATGAGTACTTTAAGATTTCTAAACTCCCATGTATAAAGAAGTATTATGATCTTTTCCAATACAAAATGGGATTGTCTCATTTTTATTATCATCTGTAATCAATGAATTAAATTGAATCTATTCACAATTTTAAATACATTTTCCATAATTATTGAGATAATACTTAGTATTAATTTAATAATTACTTCATCATGACACCTATAACAAGTTCCACTTATATGCAAACATTCAGAGCATTTCTCCTCACAATGCTAACATTCTTTTTAATTTTTATCCATATAATATCCTTTCTAACATAGCATTTAATCATTCCTTTTTACTTCAATTTTATCATGGTTATCTCCTTATAAAAGATGCTCATTTTCATTCTTTTAACCATTTTATACTTAAGAATCAATTTCAGTATTTTTATTTAATTAGTTCATCCTTTAATATTATTCTTTATTCTTTTATTCATCTGATAATTTATTATATTAATTCTAAATATTATTCATGTTCTTATCGCCATATTTAAATTCTTTGATATTATACTACTCGTTTTATACTTTAATAAAACTTTATTTACTTTTATTATTAATTTTCTTCTAATTCTCTTAAATTATTTTCTATTCTTTTGATGATTTATTTATAGAATTGATGGAAATTAAAATTCCTCCATATAATATGAGAACAATAAACCAAAAAATGAAAAGATTCCTATATTTATTCACTGTTCTTTTCTTAGTTATATCTACAATTTCTGTTTCCTCTTTCATCACAGAAAAATTCATTCCTTTAATTAATTATATTAGAAAATAAAAATATATACTTTACAGATTTTTTATATTATTTTACTAAACTATGTTTGCTAAGTTAATTGGTTTAAGAAATAATGAATTTTTTTATTTCAAGCAAGAAAAGCCTGTTTTCGTTAAATTACAAATTAATCAATGGTCTTGTTTTCAATTGTTTTAATATGTATCTAAAATCTTATAATTAATAATAATATCAATTTCCACATCATAATATTATTCCTTAAAATAATTCAATATAGAAATCAAGATGATTTTCTCTAAATTAAACATAAGCTGTAAGTTTTTTTTAATTTTATACTTGAAGTATAGATGAAATTTTAGAAATTCTGCTCGATTTAAAAAACATTTAACAATAGATCAATTCTACTAAATTATATTTTATGATTTATGTTTATAACATATCAATCTAATAAATTCAATTTCTATTTTTTTTTTCTCAAATCTTGAATCTTTTATTCCAAAATTTTTGATTCTAAATTTAAAAAATAAATCTCTAATTTTAAATCTTTATTTTTTCTTTCCATCTTGGATCTTTAATTTTTTTCAATATAAAAATTTTTATTTAAAGTATCATATTAAATTATTAAAGAATTTTCAGAGGATTTTACATTAGAAAATTTTGTTTGTAAATATGAAATCTTTTTTTTTTATTCTTCTTTTTCTATTTTTAAGAGTTCTAATTCATTACTCTATTATAAATATTTTTCTTCTAATTATCGATAGTTATTTTAAATAAAATCACGTTCTTGTATTATTCCTTAAAATGCATCTTAGTATTATTTCTAAAGATATTTTCTACCTTCTTCTTAATTAAAAGATATCTTATTCAAATATTCTATTTTTTTTAGACTTTCATCATTTGTTGTTAAACTTAGTTGTATTTATTCTTAGAGCTCTTTCATTTATTAATTGTAATCTTTTTGTTGTTTTTTAATATAATCGTCCTTCTCTTTAATAATATTTTATATATGTTCATTATTTTATTTGATTAATGATTAAAGATCTTCTCCTTTAGTTGATAAATTTAAATTCAATATTTATATCTCTTAAATCTTTTGATTTAATTAATTTTAAAGTTTCTCATTTTAGTTTAACAAATCTTCCTTTTAGCTTAACAAATCTAAATAAGTTTTTTATTGCTCCTAAATTGTTTATTTGTTAGAGTTATTCTCATTTTACAATTTGATAAGATAATCTTTTTATTCTAAATAATTCTAATAAACGATTCGAATGTCAATTAGCTCCAAATAATATTCTTCATCATTTTCATTCTATTAAGTGAAATCATACTGAAATAATTAATTGTTTTTTTTGTTCACCATTGCCATAAATTCAAATGGCACAGTATAATCGATCTTAGCAATTCTTTTTTTGAGTTACAAAGGTTCACATGTTATAAGGATTTATTAGCAATTTGTTAAAACTACCTAAAATTTTTTTTCTTTTTTCTACTAATATATCATTTAATAGAATTTTAAATTAAATTATTAATATTATAAATGGTGTTTAAAATATTAAATTTTGCTTAAATTATGAAATTCTATTCAATTTGTTAGTTAGAGTAAATAAAAAATATTTTTAATCAATATTTATCTAAATAATTGTACATTAATACAATAAACCCCTTTTAATATCAATAATTAGAGTGATTAATTACATACCTTTAAAATTTATTTAATAAATAATGAAAAAGAAAAGTTTATTAATATTTATTTTATGATAAATATAATAATCAAAACTTAAACCTTTAAATTAGATAATTAATGTGTCTCTTTTCCTAAAATTGAAAATTACTTATATTAAAATTTTATTGATAAAAGTAATAGAATTAAAGTCAAACTAAAAAAATCATATTTATATATTAAAAATACATAAATGTATATCAATATGGCAATATTCTAATCAACCCTTCACCTTCCTCAACATAATTAGATATCAAGCTTTTCAAAATGCTATCATTTATTTACATTCCTGGTTCAAGTCTACATCCAACACCATATTTATCTTTTTTTGTGTCTATCTTATCATTCTAATTTTCTTGATCATTGTTGAATTAATCAATTATCTAATAAAATATCCAAATAATTTACATTCTCAACTGTTGTCTATTTCTTATTAACATAATAAGTACAAACATTCTTTTTGCCAAAAACATGGATATAAGCCATATTTTCTATTATAAATGTTAAATTGTTACCTGAGGATATGTTTTTCAAGTAAACATCATTCAAATCTTTAAGCAAAATTGCATGACTTAAAATATTATTACCTTATGGAGAATCAAAAGCCAAATAATTTGTTTAAAGATTTTATCTTTAATTAATTAAGTTAATTAGATCTTGAACTGTTTTTAACCCATATTCTGTTTTAAACTCATCAAACCTTTTATTTTCAAGATGAACAGTAAAACCAACTCCATAACTTTCCTTCCTTTTAAATGCTGCGTATTCATTTGCTATTTTTGCTTATTTTGTTAGCTCATCTTTTTTTGTTTAATCGTAACCTTTTGGATTAGTATTTTAATTCATTATTAATTAGAAAAATAATAAATTAAATTCATTTTTTCATTAACTTTTCTATATGGTCTTTCCATTTTAAATGACCCGTTTATGGAATAAGATTTCCTCTTATTAATTTTTATTTAGATTATTCTTATTAATCTTTTTCATTTTTCCAAATATCTTCAGGTTATTCAAATCTTGTAGTATTATTTTTATCTTCCTGTATTAATTTTTTTTGTTTCTATTAATAATTTTAGTTATCATCTAAGCTTTTTAAATTTGGTTGAACAAGACGTTTAGCAGCCTCTTTATTCAAACTAATTGATTTTTAATCAGTTTATTTGATTTATTGAGGCATATATTTTTAGTAAGCTTCTTATATTCTTGTAAGTTCATTCATTATTGGATGTGTAGAAGTTTCTACAGAGTTTAATTTTAAATATGCTATATAAAATTAAAACATTTTACAATAATAAATTGATGATAAAGTATATGCCAAGTTTAAATTAAGTTCAATTTAATCTTTGTTAGACATTCCCTCAGTTATTTCATCCAAATTACCTTATTATGAAAACTATTAAATTATTGTATTTAATTTTGACAATTCCTCTTAAGTACTTTAAAGTGTGGTTTAAATACTCATTAATTGTAAATATTAATAAAATATTAAAATTATATATAAATCACTCATTTTCATTAGGTTTGACTTTCTTTTCTGCCTTTTATTCATCTTCAACTTATTTGAAATTAAATATACTCCAGAAGAAATCCACTTAATTAAGCAACTCTCTTGATAAATTCTCTATTTATTCATCATTAAAATTCTCAATCTAAGCTATTTCTATTTCAAATTCATAATCTGTTAAGTTCTGATCTTTAAATATTTATTCTAATTTTATTTAAATGTTTGAACATTTTGATGAAGTTATTTCATCAATAATCTTCTAAAATTCAGGATCATATTTAAATATGGAAGCTACTTTAGAAAGTGCAAATTCTAAATTGTTCTCTTTTACAAATAATGTTTATTTTAATCTAATAAAATTTGCATGTTGTTTTCTTGATGGCATTTATGCAATTATATCTTTAAGAGATCTTGAAAGAGTTTTTTCTTAATTTAGAGATATTCTAAATTAAATCTTATCATTTATGATATCAATATGTTCTTATAAATTCTTTTATTTTTCTATTAATATAGCTGATATTTAATCATTGATTATTTAAAATGAATTTCTTTGCTATTTATTTAATGAAAAGTCTAATCTTTTAATTAAGACTTAATTTTCTTTTTATTTAAGATAATCATAAGCATTATTATATTAATTTATGTTTATCTTAGATTCAAATTAATATTTTGCCTTACTTTTATCTAATTATTCCATTCCTTTTATAGATTCCAAATATTTATTTGAATTGAAATTTTATCCTTTAAATTTTCCAATTTTAGCTTCTAATTCATAAATACACTAATTCTCTCTTTTCATTATTTTTGTTTTAATAACATTTGATATCCATTTAATTAGTTAATCTTTTTTCATATTTAAAAAAGAATTTTAATATTAATTAAATAATATATAAAATTCTATTTTTCTCATTATTTTGAAATATTTATATATAATTTATATATTATTGATGCTAAATCAGAATGATCTAAAATTTTTATCAATTTTAATGCATGCATCTTCCAATAATTTTAATAAAGCTTCAGTTGTAGCTTCTCTCTCTCTTCTTTCAAAATTAATATCTTGTTATAATTTTCCATGAACATCTTCAATCATTCTAAATATCTTTCCTTATGTTTCTTCTCTAACTTTCTTTTCAATAAGTAATTAATCTGAAAATTTATTAATTTCTGAATCAATTTATTCAGTTAATGATTCAGCAGATTCTTCTCTATTTAATAATTTATATATTAAATACCTTGATTATCTTTCTTAATCCAATTAGTTTTTTACTACTTAAACTTATTATAAGACTTCTGCTATTTTAGCTTGACTTCTATCTTCATATTAATGAGTGTTTCTAGTTATAGTCAAAGTAATTTATGCAAATCTTTCATCAATTTATTTTTAGAGTTTTGTTTCTGCAATTCCTCTTGAATTTTTTTCTTACTCAAAAGAAAGTGCAACATTATCAGATAATATTCTAAAATCTTTCTCTTTTTTATCATCAAATGCCTATTCTAATAAATAATTAATACTTCTCTTTCAGATTTTTGATTATGTGCATGATCTTACAATTTTAATACTTGATCTTTTAGCACCTTAAATCTTTATTCATCTTTTGGTTTTTCTTATGATAGAACATCTTCAATTATTTTTATTCTCTCCTCTAATACTTCTCTCTTTTCCAATTTATCCTTATCAATACCATTCTAAATGTGATTCCATTTATCAGATAATAACTTGATTCTTTATCTAGCAGGTGAATCTAACTCTTAACTGAGATAATTGACATTTGATCTCTAGGGACTCGATAATTATGATAATTATGATCTTTATAATTTTGATGTTGTAAGTTTCGATGTAGAAAGGAGCATATTAAAATGATATTTTCTAAAATAAATTTATTTACGATTTATTTTATTTCACTATTTATAAATTGCTATATTCATTTAATTTTTTTAAAAAAGTCTAAGATCTTTTATTTTTCTTTATTTTCTTTTTATCCACCCCATACTTCTGATAAAATTATATACTACATTTAACAACAAATTATATTAATAAATACTTTTTCAAGAATCTATTAGCTTTTTTTTGCTAATGAAAAATCTATAATTAATTCCTTTTTTGAATTCTAATAAACTAAAATATATCGTTCTCTTTTGAGGTTATAAATAAGACTATTTTTTCTAAAATTGCATTTTTATTAAAAGTATTAAATCTTCATAGGTATTTCTTCATTATTCAGTATAATTGTAAATTTTGTTCCTTGTATTTATCAATCTTTAAGTAAATAATTAGTTTCATTACTATAAAAATTAAACTATTAAAAAAATAATTATATATTAAATCTATTGATACAAGAAATAATATTGGTATTTATTTATGTAGTTTTAAATTCATTTTGTTTCAATATTTAATTAGTAATATGAGTAAATGAAAACTTTTCTTAAGAAATAAATTAAATTTATTTAACAAAATTTAATGATGTAATTTAAGAGTTTAGAAGAGCAAATCCAATACTAGGAAAAGAATATTGAATATTTGTAACAATAAAATTTTGATTTACAAAACTAAATTTCTTAATTTTCATAATTTTAATAGTTAGGAATTACTATTGAGGCATTCTAATCTTTGCAGAATAATAACAAAGAATAATAGCAACAAATAAAATAATTGCAAAAAGATAATAACAATTTACTTAAATAGATATAAAACAATCAAGTGAAATATTATGATAAAACACTTTCAAATTTATAATAGGAGAATGTGAAATTGAAGAATGAAATAAGATAATTACGATAAAGGATATCATCTCCTTCTAAATTAGATAAATCAATAGTTTAATATAGTACACCATAAAAGTAACTAAATCCTAGTGCTATACTAAAGTCAACAAAAGATCATCCAAAAGATGTGGCAAGTTTATTATTTATCAAAGGTTCCTAAAATTTCAAATCTTAATATGTGGATATTATTAAAGGAAAATACGAAAATGTTAAAGTAATCAAATAATTAAAATCAGGATTAGAGTAATCCTATTTTGACACTTATCATTTTGATATAATAAGTTAAGATCTCTAACACTCACTATAATAATTAGATAGATAGCATAGTATTCATTAAGGTAAAGGGATTCTATTATCGAATTAATTATGTTTGATTTATGGAGCATCAAGAACATATAAGAAGCATTTTCTAATATAATATTTAGATACATTAATATCTTAAATAAAATAACAATATGAAATCTTTTAATAAAATGAAGATTACAAATAATTGACAGTTAAGATTGTATATGAAGAATTCTTTAATGGTTAGCCTAAACATCCATGTGATAGTGAAATTCTTGTTAATAAAGAATAAAGTAAAAGGGATAGTGAAAGCAAGGTAAGAGAGATAGAATTATCAATATCAAAATTGAGATTAATAATACTTAATAAACTTAAAATGACAATTAAAGATAATAGTAAGAAATATGTTAAAGTAAGAAAGCTTTACATAGAAACAGAATTATAATTTCTTAAAGAAACTCAAATGAAAAAGTTTTTTTGTTTTACATCAAATTAGAATTTGAATTAGAGATAGTTTTAAAATGCAGAAGAAGGCTTAAATGAATCTTTAGCAATGAAGGATAAAGGAAAGGAATTAACATAAATTTTAAGATGGCCATAATTATAAATATCATTAGTTTTATGTGTTCATCCAACAATTCCAGATTATTCTTTAACAGTAAATACATTTTAAATATGTAAATTTATTAGAAATTTGAAATTAGTATCAGATTCTCCTTAAAGTTCTGATAAATTTTAACAGATTTTAGAGAATAATAATGTAAATAAATATAATATTTTTAGAAATCGCTTGAATAAAAAATAAAATAATTAAGAGAGAAAATAAAGAATTTAGAATCTGAGAATTACAGAGTCAGAAAGTAAAGTTTCATTTTAGAAGCAGAAAATAAGGAAGCAGTTGAGAAGAATAAAAAATTAAATTAATAATTGATAAATCTAACAGGTTCATTGAAGTCATTAAAAATGAATTTTTAATAGTAAATATCTGCTAAGAAATCTTTATCATTGTCTAAAACGAAAAGTGCAGTTGTAGCTGATAATAAAATAATATAAACACTTGAAAAGGCTTCAAGAAGCATATCAGTATTATTATCATAGAATAGTAAGACTGATTTAAGCGTTAGTCCATCAAAAGTTCAAAAGACACTTCCTTCAGATTTACTTCTGGTAAAACAATTAGATTAATAAATATTAGCCAAATTTTTAAGAAAATTCAGATGAGGATGAGGAATATTAAGAAGAAGGGGAAGATGGATAAGAAGATGAAGATTAAATGGATGATGAAGAAGTAGATTCTGAAGTACCATCTGAAGAAGATGAATCTGAGGGATAAGATATATAATAACCTAGAAAAGAGTCATCAATATCAATGATATGAGTTATGTGTATTCGTTTTTGAATATTTTAATTAAATGAAGATCATTTTATTGGTTTTTTTGATTGGAACTACATTTGCAAGAGATGAAAGCTTTTTTGCTTAATTAAGAAATAGTGATTTTGGAAAAACAATCATCTAAACTCTTTAAGTCTAATTATCTTAAGAACATACAGCAGATACAGTTGTTCATCTTCTAAAATAAATGAAAGATGATCTTAACAATGAATAAAGAGTTGAAGATGATGAAATTAATGGATAATTAAAAACATGTTAAGATGCTTCAAGTGCTGCAACAGCTGTTTTAACTATTGCTAAAGAACGTAAAGCAACATCAGAAGAAAGATTACCATTACTTTAATAAGAATAAAATGATAAGAAACAACAATTATTTGATAAATAAGGAGAAGAATAAAGAAATTTAGATAGAATTAGTGTATTATAGGAAGCGAGAAATGTTTAAAGAGTAAATTAATTATAAAATTTAATTAGCAAGAATTTGAACAAAGAAGAGATGAATTAGTAGGTTTAGTTTCTGCACTTTAAGAAGCTAAAAAAATCTTATCTTAAGGTATTNTAGAGAATAATAATGTAAATAAATATAATATTTTTAGAAATCGCTTGAATAAAAAATAAAATAATTAAGAGAGAAAATAAAGAATTTAGAATCTGAGAATTACAGAGTCAGAAAGTAAAGTTTCATTTTAGAAGCAGAAAATAAGGAAGCAGTTGAGAAGAATAAAAAATTAAATTAATAATTGATAAATCTAACAGGTTCATTGAAGTCATTAAAAATGAATTTTTAATAGTAAATATCTGCTAAGAAATCTTTATCATTGTCTAAAACGAAAAGTGCAGTTGTAGCTGATAATAAAATAATATAAACACTTGAAAAGGCTTCAAGAAGCATATCAGTATTATTATCATAGAATAGTAAGACTGATTTAAGCGTTAGTCCATCAAAAGTTCAAAAGACACTTCCTTCAGATTTACTTCTGGTAAAACAATTAGATTAATAAATATTAGCCAAATTTTTAAGAAAATTCAGATGAGGATGAGGAATATTAAGAAGAAGGGGAAGATGGATAAGAAGATGAAGATTAAATGGATGATGAAGAAGTAGATTCTGAAGTACCATCTGAAGAAGATGAATCTGAGGGATAAGATATATAATAACCTAGAAAAGAGTCATCAATATCAATGATATGAGTTATGTGTATTCGTTTTTGAATATTTTAATTAAATGAAGATCATTTTATTGGTTTTTTTGATTGGAACTACATTTGCAAGAGATGAAAGCTTTTTTGCTTAATTAAGAAATAGTGATTTTGGAAAAACAATCATCTAAACTCTTTAAGTCTAATTATCTTAAGAACATACAGCAGATACAGTTGTTCATCTTCTAAAATAAATGAAAGATGATCTTAACAATGAATAAAGAGTTGAAGATGATGAAATTAATGGATAATTAAAAACATGTTAAGATGCTTCAAGTGCTGCAACAGCTGTTTTAACTATTGCTAAAGAACGTAAAGCAACATCAGAAGAAAGATTACCATTACTTTAATAAGAATAAAATGATAAGAAACAACAATTATTTGATAAATAAGGAGAAGAATAAAGAAATTTAGATAGAATTAGTGTATTATAGGAAGCGAGAAATGTTTAAAGAGTAAATTAATTATAAAATTTAATTAGCAAGAATTTGAACAAAGAAGAGATGAATTAGTAGGTTTAGTTTCTGCACTTTAAGAAGCTAAAAAAATCTTATCTTAAGGTATTGGAGCTTTGAAAAAAAATAATTTTGTTGAATTAAAAAATCATCATCAAAATTTCTTAAAATATTATCCAAATAAGAAAGGATTTCATAGTATGGTTGAAGTTCTTTTGTCTGTTTTATAAGAAGAAAATACTCAAGAAAATGCTGCTTAAAAAGTTGTTAAAATAATTGATACACTTGTTGATAGCATTTTCTAAGTTTAAAAAGAAGAAATGAAAGCAGATGATGCTAGAGAATTAGACTTTTTAACATAAAAAGAAAGATTACTTTTAGCTAATAGACGATTATCTGGTAGTGTCGCTGATTTAAATGCTGCTAATGAAAGAATTGGACAAAAAATATTAGAAATCAAAAATGATATTGCTATTCAAGATTCTGTAAATAAAATTATATAAATTTTAGATTATTTTTAATAAATCTACAGAATAGGCAGATTGGGATTAAACTTGTAATGATACAGAAAAGGCTCATAGATTACAAACTGAATAAAGGTAATTTAATTAATTATAAAAAAGAAATGCTTAATTAGCTATTATTGTTGAATGCATCGATATCTTTGAAACCAGATTTGATATGGAAACCAAAAGCTACATTTAACGCCTTAGATTCTGAATCAAATATAATTGACGCAATATAAAAGCAATAAAAACGGATTTCTAATAATATTTATTATTCATAATGAAGTTTTCTATAGTACTACCAATCCTTTTAATTATCGGGAGCATGGCTGCTGATTTTGATCAATAAGTTGAAGAATTATAGAACTCTAATTTTGGTCAAACGATATTACAAACAATTCTAATGGAATTGTAAACAGGTGATCCAGTAGTTTCTAACCTAATTAATATGATATAAGGTTTGGAAACAACTCTAGAGAATGAATAAGAAAGGGATGATTAAAGAATTACTAGAATTAAATAAAATTGTGATATTGACATAAATACATTGAAAGATTAAATAAATTAAAATACTGTGAATTCATTAACATTAAAAAGTGAATTAGATAGTTTGAATCCTTAAAAAGTATCAGCAGTTGCTAGTCTTGAAAGAAAAAATAATGAAATTAATGATCTAAAGACAGAATTTAATTATTAATCACATAAAAGAGAGACAGAGACAATAACCTATTAAGTAATTTTGGATAATTTGGAATAAGCACTTTTTGGAGTTAATTAAGTTAAAGGATATTTTAATAGCTATTTAGATGTACTTGTAAAGAATCGAAAAAGATTTGAAAAACCAGAGCCTTCATTTTTATAAGAGACTTACAGTTTTAAATATGATTAAACAGAAATGAATGATGTAGATGATGAAGGAGTGCAATTTACATCATTCACTTAAGTAGCTGCTAAAGTTAATAAATTAAAACATCATGTAAATAGAAATTTAAATATTAGATTCATTTAGAAGGTTATAGAGCTATGATTGAAATGATGAGTCGTTTAGCTACTAAAGCATAAGATGAACCATCATAAGCAGAAGTATTAACAAGAAAGGTCTTATCAATTTTGAAATAAATAGAAAATTATATTTAATCTGAAAGAATAAGAGAAGATCAAGCAGAATCTCTAAGATCAGGAAATTTTGATATACTTAAAACATTACTCTCAGACTAATTAGTCTAAGCTAGTTAAGATAGAACTTATATGGAAGGTATAAATTATCATAGTTATCAGATTAGGACTAGTTGAATCTTTGTCAACAAGAATTTAACAAGCAGCTAATGAAAAGTTCGAAGTTGACCAAAAAATTGTCACTAAAACTAAGGAATTAGATAACAGAGAAACAGATTGTAGACTTAAAAATAATGAATATGAAACAGATACTGCTAATAGGTATCTATTTATAAACTAATTAAATAGAATTAAATAAAAGAGAGTAGTAGCAGTTGCCGTTGATCTAATCTCATCAAAATTAGGACAACTTAAGAGAAAATTGCTTTCTAATTGAGTTTCATATACAAAATTAAAACCGAATAATATATATATCTTCTTTTGAATAAATAAAATCATAGTTTTATGATGGAAGCGCCTTGAGAGGGTTATGTTGAAAAAATATGATCTTAGTTTTCAATGTGATTATAAAAGAACTCTATGATCTACTATATATAATTTAATTTACTTTATTTTTGAAATTTTTAGCTTCTTATTCTTTGACCAAACTAACTGTGCATCCTCCCCATCCTGCTCCAGTTAATCTACTGCCCAAAGCTCCATTTTTAATACATAGAGTTGTTAGTTTATCTATGTTATCTGATGAGCATTCATATAATTCTTTACAAGATTTTTAACTTTGATTCATCAACTAACCTAATAAAATTGCTTTAATATCATCTGACATTTTAGAATCACAAATATTTTTAAATTTAATGACTCTTTAAGCTTCTTTAACAACATGAATTAATCTATTGTATGGATTTACATTTTAATTTTAATTTAAAACTAATTCAAAGTATGGAATATCACTTAAGAGAACTGGTAGATTTAAATATTGTAATTATTCAAAATCTAGATCTCCTTTTGGAATAAATCTGCAAAGTTCTTCCATAGATTCAAGTGATAATTACAAATGATCTTATAATTATTTTAAAGTTCTATAATTAGTTCCAAGATTTAATGCTAATTCTATTAATTTAATTCCAATTCTACATTCCACCACCCTTTTATTATAATGTTTTCCAAGTGTTTCAAGTTTAGTTGATTCAGTCAATGAATTTGCAATAATAAATGAATATCCTTTTGGTAAATTAACTTAAGTTAATTTTAATGGATCAAATTCAATATATAATGCAGATCCTTCTTAACCAAAAACAGATATAGTTTAATCCATTCCTCCACATGCTGTGCCAGCTTCTCTTTCAAATTTGATTATCTAATTAACAAACTAATGTCTATCAATATCTTATTAAGTTTTTCCACTAACTTATAAACTCATTAATGAAGATGCCACTACTAAAGATGATGAAGATGATAATCCTGAAGAAAATGGCAAATTACCACTTATCAATATTTTTATTCCTTAATTTGCATTACCATATTATATTCCTGCTTTGTATCCAGCTAATACATATTTAACATAATTTTGAATTTCTTTGTATTCTTCTTTGGGATTCACTGAAAGACTTGTTTACTTAAACTATTAATCATCAGCATGCTAAATCTGTATATCATTTCCATCTGTAGCAAATAGCATAAAACAAGATTGTTCTAATGCAAATGGTAATACTCCATATCCCATATAATCAATATGCTCTCCTATTAACTAACTTTAATGATAAGATTACATTAACTCTTCCAGGAGCCTTTACTAAAAATTAAGGCTGAAGTCCATTGTATCTCTGAGTAAACAATTCAATCAATTATTAAATATTCATTTTTTATATTATTAAATTTTTTTAACCTTTTTTTATTCTTATATGAACGTTATCCATATCATAACATAACATGACGAATAACTAAATTTTATTAATTTTATTATAAACTATTTATCATTCATTTTTTTATTTGTTTATTTAAATTGACTTGTCATCTATTTATGTACTTTCTTTAATTTTATCTAATGCTCTTTTCCACATTTGACCTCCCCATTGAACAGTTAAAAATAGTCCTGAAGCTTCGGTACAAACAGTTTTATCTTGATCATAGATAGTTGCCTTAAGGTAAACCTTTCTGCCTTCTATTTTATCAATTTCAGCTGTTATCATATAATCTTGATTAGTTTTGACAGGTTTTCTGTAATTTATATTTAAGTTTGCTGTTGCTGTTGGAATTTAACCACTTGCCAAGTAACTTAATTAACCAAAAGCATTATCAATTAATGTTGCTAATAATCCTCCATGAACAATAGAGCTATGTCCTTAGAGATGATCTGCAGCATTAAACACAAAATGCAAATGAATTTTATCTTCAGATTCAAGATTATCGCTATATATTTTTTATTCTAATTTGTCTGGATAGTATATTTTAAACACATTCAAAGCTTCATTATGTTGTGCTATAAAATTATGCAAGAAATGCTTATCTGGAGATGAATGCATAATGTCAATAACTTTTGGTTGTATATAGTTTCCTTCTTCCAACATTGATTTAAAACTGTGATCATCATTTTTCTGATTGTTAATATTAATAAGAGCTTTTATATATGGATAATATCTTTCATATGTCAATCCTCCTGCAAATGCTAATCCAAATAACAATATATTTTTTTTCATAAATATAATTTTATCAACTTTATTAAGGTATAGAAAATCTAAAAATAATGAACTCTCCTCATCATTAATAAATATTCTAAATCACCTTTAATCCATAAAAAAAACATTTTATTTAATCTGCTAAATTAGAGATCTCTATTGCATCTAATTTATGGAATGAATTACTAATATCATAATAATTTATGTTTATATATAAAAAAAAATATATATTGTTTTAATCAAGGATAATTTACAAAGAATTTTCAACTATGAAAGCAGCAATTGAATGTTTTAACGATTTTTTATTTCTTGAGTGTTATTTGTAATATCAGAAAACTTATTAATTAATTTAGAGCTTGGAGCTTAGAAATTATATGTTTAATTTGCCTCGGAATTGTTATTTACTTCATTTTGAGAAAACGATGCAGAATATTAAACAGTAACTCTTCTAAAATATTAACACTAATTATGTTTTCGCTTATTTGTATGATATTATATATTATATTAGTTTACTTTATATTCAATCTAAAAAGAATTCATAGTACATATTATTTTCTTGAAGAATTATTTTTCTAATTTTACTAAGGATGTTTAATTTTCTATTTTGGAAAAAAATTAGTTGCAGCATCATCTTAAAGAAAAAACCTAAATATAATTAGACTAATCTTTATTATTCTTATCATCCTAGATATCATCACTTTTATCTTATCAATTGTAGAAGCAAATTCCAAAGAAAAGATGTGTAAATGTAAGTTTAAGTATTTAAAATTAGATTAGAAATTTCATTCACAGTTTTCAGATCTGTAAGCTTGTTTACTTAGATAATATTTTTATTTGTTGTATAAAAATTGCACAAAAAGTTCCAATAAAATTTATAGAGTCTTCTTATAGATGAATAGTAAACCAAACGCTAAAAATTACATCTATTTTAGTTAAAGTATTTATTATTTAAAAATTTCAAGAATATTGTGTTACATAAGCTTAATTGGATCAATAATATTATTGATAGTTAATTTTTTATATATGATATCCGATGATTGTAGAATAATTGGTCATTTTGGAGATGAAGGAGAAAACTTTTCAGATGCATTAAATGCTCTAGTACATGCTATTGTAAAATTATTGACTTATTTTGTGCCAATAATTATAACTTTAGCTATATTTTAAACAAAGAGTAAAAAAGAATTACATGATAATTCATAATTAGAGGCTGAAGATTTGAGTGGTCAATCCTATTTTAAAGGATTAACTATAATAAAATGATAATAGTTTTTAACTTAAATTAAAATTAATTATACATTTTAAAACATTTATTTATTTCTTTATCATTTGCTTAATTTATTTTTTTATTTCAAATACTCTGAGTAAATAGCAGCTTTTTAATTGATTGATAGATCAGTTTTTCTAAATGGTGTCACTTAATAAATTTATTCTTGTATATGTTTCAAATCAATTTTTTTAATTTTTTCTATTTAAGTTTCTCCTATATGAATTAATCCAGAACAAACAACTAATCCAAAAGATCCAATTTTGTTCATAAATCCTTTTCCTGGTATTTTTCTTAAAACCATTTTTAATTTATAAAATAAATTAATAAAATATATAATTAATTAATCATTATATTTAAGGTAATTTGTATTGATTTCTAGAATACAATGCCAATAAATGCACAAAAGTATTTGAAGGTTGTTTTTTTTTTTTATTTCCTCCTTTTTCCTTTTCTTTCTTTCTATCTACAAAATAATAATGGAGTATAATTTTTATTTTTCTCCATAACATTTTTCCAGGAGTAATAACAAAAGCTGAAGAATTTCTTCTTTTGATTTCTTCAGACATAGCAAAAACCCATGCATTAATCTAGTGTAATTAATAAATATTCATACTTATAAAGGTTATACATAAAAATCCATAGATCTAGTTTTCATAATCAAAGAAAAGCAAAGCCAAGGTTCTAATTTATCATTGTAAGATTTTCTAAGTACATCTGTTACCTTACCATAAAATAAGCCTCTAATATCAGAAACTAAATAAGAATTTACAGATTTTGGATCATTAATTTGTTTACTATTTTAAGCCCATCTAAATGTACCATCATTTGCTAAAATAAAAAATCTTTCAATTCTTCCATTTGAAGACTTATTACACTTTGTTAATTAATCACCTAACATTACTGTTCTAAAGGCAGCATTAAGAAGACTAACATTCTTTAATTTTTGGGATTTTGTTATAGAAACAGTCATATTCTATCCCTATTTTATTTAAGATGAATTTGATTAAGATTTTGAAAATTTTAGATTTGCTTATTATGATGATGGTTATTGTTATTATTACTATTACTATTATTGTTATTAATATAATTATTATTATGAATATTATTGCTATTATTATTAAGTTGAAGCTTTTGGCTAATTATTTCCTTGATAACCCATATTTTATGACCCAAATTAACCACTATTCTTAAAAGGATGTTATTCATAATTATTTGTATAAATTGTTTATTATTTTTATTATTAAAAATTATTCTATTCAATTTAATTATTTTGAGAAGAATTACTTTGTAAAGGATTAGTATATTGTTAATATTAATTATTTTAAAATTGAGTAGGATTTTATCCTCTTACTATGTGATTTTATTAATCATTTGTTGAATGATAAGATTAAATATTCAATTAATTTTAATAATCATGATTTACCTAACTTTGTTATGAATTATATTATGAATTCATAGAATCAACTTATTTTTATCTGTTAGATTAAGACTATGGCTATTATTATATTAAATATTGTGAATTTTGAATTTATTAATTAAATGGTTAATTAGTTTAAATTTTGGAATTAAATAGTGGCTATTAATAAGTTTATTAAACTTGATCATTTTCTTGTTTTAAATAATAAAGATAATTTAAGAAGGGTTATAATTATATTTTCAAACAAATTCGATTAAATTTTAACAATTGTGATTTAATTATATTTACAGACTCTTTTGTAAATGGTAAATTTTATAAGTAATTTTCATAGGGCTATTATTAATCTAAAAGTTTTAAAGAATGTTCTAATTAGGCAATCGATTACGATAATAAAGCAGCATTTTCTACTTCTTATTATGACATTTGATGATAACAATATTATATTGCTCTTTTGAGTCTTAATTTTAAAGCAAGTTTCCAAAATTCATCTTGTTATTTAAGTGTTAAAGGCTATGATAATAATTATTGGTTTTTTTAATAATTTAATTATTGTTCTAATTTTTAAAGGGATGTTGTTATCTAAAAATTTAGATTATCTAAATATATACTTCTCTTGCACATTATAATTTTTTTTCACAATCTTTAAATAATATTTCAGGACTTATTCCTCTTAATTCAGGTGATTGCATACATTTTTACAATTATAAAACATAATCTTTGCAATCCATTCTTTCATTTTATGCAATAGTTAAAATTCTCCTTAATGTAATAACAATAAAACCATTTTCTTTTTGTTCATACCATAATTTTAATGCTTTTTAATGATATTTAAAAGCAAGGGCCATATCTCCACACAACTCACGATTTAATCCCATTGAGGAATAAAAACAAGCTAAACTTTATCCATCATCTATAAAAATTATATAAATAAATTTCAGTACACTTTTATTCTAGATTTTCAAAATTGCCATCTCCCATAGCTTCAAATGATTAAAACCTATAATAAATGTACATTAATTCTTTATATAGCTAATATTAAAAAGGAGGTTAACTAAAAATGAATAAAAATTTTACGCTGAAAGAATTAATTGAATTGCTTAATCATTATAATCTTTACACTCTTAAAATTCAGTTGTTATCAATTTGATGATAGCTAAATTTCCCTAAATTGATATTTAATCTATAATTACTAAAATTTTAATAAGCAAAGCACATTTGAAATCATTTTTTCTGTCTAACATAGTAAAAGCTTAAAGTAGCTTTTCTGTTGCTTATTTATAATCGCAATTATGAAAATAAATAATTCCCAAATTAGCTAGAATTATAGCCATTCTATCAATATCTATTATTTTGTTTTTGTTTTACCTCTCCCTGCTTCTTAACAATTTAAAGCTTCTTCATATAGTTTTATGGCTTAATTCATATCTCTTAATTAAAATTGACTATGAGCATCCAAAAGAAGTTAATTAAATTGAATTTGATTTGTATTAAGAGTGTCCTCCTAATTCATAATTTAAATTAATATATTGAATCTAAAATAAAAACAATATGGTTATATTTCATTCATAATATCCTAATACACCATATAGAGTCCCATAATATTTATCCTTTACACATGTAACTTCAATAGGATTAGATACTGCTATTTCCATTTATTCACTTATTGTAAAGGTAAGCAAATTCAATTTTGCTATTTTTACATCATTCTCTGAGAAACAAATAATGTCTTCATAATAAAATGAAGCATATTAACATGGATAATTCAAACTTCCTAAAGCTATCATTTTTTCATCATAATAAAATAGATGGGCTCCCTTAATGTAATATATTAAACTTATACTTTAAAATTCTCATATATTAAAAAATATTTATCTTTTATATCAAATCCTTTTATTGGAATATTGAAATTATGTACAAATTATCCATCATTTGTATGAATAGCAGTTTCTGTTGCAAAGTATATAATTTTTTAAGATAATTTTAAATCATATATTGGTTCAGAAAAAGTATAATTATAAACCAATTATAATTATTCATTTAATATATTTATTTTTCCTTATTAAGATTCTGTGAATCCTACTAAATAAATATTATTATATTATTCCATTTTTTCTATTTAAAACTTTTATTGAGATTAGGTTTTTAATTAATCATCAAAATAACTTAATAATAAATTTTAAGTTGTTAAAACAATTAAATGATCTTTAAAAAATCTCAAACTCTTAATTTCTAAATTTTTAATAAATTTTAATTCTCTACATTATGAACTTGATCCTTAACTCAAAGTAACAATTTAAATCTCATTTTAAACTATACCTATAAGTTTATCATTTTAAAAGCTTATATCATACAAGTGATCCCAATTGACTATAATCTATTAGAGTTGATTATCAATCATGTAAATATGATGCGAAAAGATTATTACTCTATTATTAAATTTCATCAATTTTATAGGATGAGTATTACTAATTTAAAATATTTTGTGAAATCTATATGTATCAGAAACCAAAGAAACCAAATTACCATCAACAAGACCTAATAAAATGAAATTCTAAGTTTATTCAATAGACACAATAGTACTACTAATGTTATTGATTACATAATTTTATTTATCATTAAAATTATTTAATTCAAATTAAAACCAAACACTATAATGGAGTTTCTTATTAATAATTTAGAATGCACTTAAATGATTAATGATTTATGAAGATTAAAAACTAATATTGGAATTATTAATTGTGTATAATCTTAATTCATTATTGGAAAAGTAAAGATATAAAGCATTATTAGCTAAATCTATCCTACAATCTTTTATTTTTTCAATAAATTCTTCTTAATAAATAACATTTTCAAATGATTACAAATAAATTATTTTATTTACAGTAATTTATACTAAAACCATACTGGAAAGTTGATGAATTAATAATGTTTTCTAATTTTTAATTACTTTAATATCAGCAATAATAAATTAAGGAATAGTATAAATTTCAGATGATGTAGAGAAGGTTAACATAATCAATGAGGAATTTATGAAAAAAATCTTTCTTGGTCTCATTTCATTAGTTAATTTATATCTTTCTAAAACATTTTCATTGATTCCTTTTCTAAATAAACTAACAGGATATTTCTTATTATAACTAGCAATGAAACAAATTTAATTGCAAGGATGAATATCAACTATTTGACCCAAATTATAAAACTCTTTAATAATCTAATTGTCTTTAACAAGAATTGAATTATCATTAATGGAACCGAAAAATGTTTAATTATTGAATTCTACTACACAACTAACTCTAAATTGAAAATTTAAGTTAAATTCAATAACTTCTTGATTTTAAATCTAATACAATTTATTTTCGCTTTACAATAAAAAACTATTTTGATATAAAAATATCTATTCAATCTATGATCCAAATTCAATGTGGTATAATTCTTCGCATTTATTTAAATCAATAATTGTTAATTATGGAAAAACTATACTTTGATAGAGAAAGAGAGGTTATGTTTTGGAAATGGAATAAATTTATTCAACTCCCATTTCAATATCCATAAATTTATGAGAGTAAACAACATTACATTCCATTAATTTTTATTTAATCACATAAGTTAATTGATTGGTTGGATTTGGTGCAAAACTGACAATTTTATTTTTCTTGATTAAATTATCAATCTCATCTATTTTACAAATTTGATATTCATATTGATAATCAAGTACAATGAAATCTTTGTAAGGGTAGATAGCTAATGGTATTTATGGAAGTGTATAAGAAGATAGTAATTCTAAGTCTTAATTAACAAATTTGATGCAATTATCAATGGTAAAAATGACTATTACGTTATCCTATAATAAGTAAATGGTTTTAGCATTGAATTCGTATTTTTAATCATTGATATAAATAAATGGAGGTGAACATAAATACAGATTGGACCTAATTTCGAAAGCACTTGTAACACATAATGACTCAAATAAATTATTTAACATTTAATTAATAATGGCATTTAGAAATATTTATACAGGTGGTGCTTGTAATGCTGATGGAACTTAATAGATGAGTTAAAATCCATTTAAGTAATTTATGGATAGAATGTTATTCGGATAAACATAATAATAGTATATAGTTAAATTAAGAATGTTAGATAAATACAATAATAGATAAATGTTCAATAAGATCCAATGGTTTAATAGAAATTACAAGAGCGTTAAAAATTATTTGAGAGTATGAATCAATAATGGGATGTTATGGCTAAATAATATGATTAGGCAAATATAGAATAAAGATAATTGATGGAAAAGATGTTTATAGAAGAGCAAAGAAAATATGAATAGGCAATGATGTAGTAATAGATGATGATGGATTTTTAATGGTAATAAGCAGAAATCTAATATTAAGCAGATTAAATGGCTTAAGAATATTTATTTTAAGAAGCTTATGAAAATGCTGAAGATTTATAAGTATAAAGTGAAAAATCATAAAGATTTGCTGATGATTTAGTTTAAGCATTAGAAAAGGATCCTGATCCAAGATTTTAATAATCAAAATTTTTAAGATTTATGAAAGATATTTAGAGTGGGAATCTAAAATTAATAGGAAATGAATTGATTACATAAAAGGGTGAGAAAGTAGAATAATCAGCATTGGAAAGAATTTCGACTTTAGAAGAAGGATGGGATTAAGCAACTAAAAATGTTGAATAAAAATAATCAGATTTAACAGAAGTAGAAGAGAAATTTTCAAAGATGTGGGAAGAAAAATTAGATAAATATGAAAGTGAATTATAAAATGAAGATTAATTTTAAAAAAAGCTTGAAGATACTTATTAATAAATTTTAAAAGAAATGGATAC